AAAAGTTACATTGTAACACTGATATCTGGAATCCCTAAATGTAAAAAAAAAATTTTTTGACACACATAGCAGTTTAAGAATATATGTACTGAGAACTTTAAGGGTTACTGCCAAATAACACTGCAATATGTGTTCAGCAACATCTCCTGAGTACAGTGATACCACCAATGTATAGATGTGTCAGGTTCTCTGGGGGCTAAAGACCTTTTCTTGGAATTTTCACAGCTGGTCATCATGCACCCATGTCCTATTTGGAAAAAATTTTAAGCTGGCCAATGTACTTTACCCCCATCAAACCAAATATTTTTGAAAAGTAGACACTCTAGGGTATTTCAAATGGTGTAATAATAGAAAGAGGAGGTGAGGGTTGTGCCAATAAGTCTCGTAGTAGTAAATATACAATTGAAAAACAGACCAATTGGTCTAGGTGATAATACAACAATTAAAATGGTATGTCTCACTAAAATAACAGTGTAATCCTCAGGATAGAAATATTCGTATAAAAAGTCTCACAAGATAACAGGATAAAATAGGGGTTCCTCAGGAGTTGATCCGTCCGGATGGGTAAAATATCTGTATGTGAAGAGACAAGGAGAGACGTGACAGACAACTGATAGTGTAGTATGTCAAAATCCAAGGGTAAAATGAATAAAAAGCAGGTAGTTAACTCACATTTAAAAGAGCTTAAACCAGCTCTGGGGTGAAGGGCATTAAGTGGTACAATCCCCGCTAAGGGATACAGTGGAGAGATGTGTCCGTCAATCCGGTCTGGATATCCAAAGCTCCGAGATATATAAAAGAAAACAATAGTGTTCTCAATTTGTAAAAAATATTAAATATTACTCAAAAGTATAGAGCAGAAGATGCTGCTCTATTGTAGTAGCGTTGGTGGAATGATCCCCACCTGGGATTTCTTTGCGTACAGGATACGTAAAAATGCCAGCGATAAAAAGTACGGAGGGTGCATGTAAATCACAATTAAAAGAGAATTGGTATAACTAAAAGTAACCAAAAAACTTTAATTGTTAAGATACACAAGTAAAAGCCAATAACGCGTTTTGTCAACACAGGGCTTTATCAAAATGGGATAAAACACGGATGTTGCCTTTGAGACCGTATGGCAGCCCAGGAATGAAAATTAACCCCATTATGGCATACCATCTGTAAAAGTAGACAACCCACAGTATTCAAAATGGGGTATTTCCAGTCTTTTTTAGTAGCCACTTAGTCACAACCCCTGGCCAAAATTAGTGTTTATATATTTTTTTTGCATTTTTCACACATAAACTGCCATTTCACAGATAACATAGAGTTATGTCTCATGAGTACAGCAGTATCCCTCAAATACAGGTTTTATGGTGATTGAAAAGTTACAGGATCAAACATAAGATTTGCCCATTTCTGTTTTTGTAAACTGCTATATGTTGCATTTGCGACAATATGGAAGCCCAGAAATGAAAATTATCCTTACCATGACACACCATTTGAAAAAGTAGACAACCCAGGGTATTCAAAATGGGGTCCAGTTTTTTGTAGTAGCCACTTAGCCACAAACGCTTGCCAAAGTTGGCGTTGATATTTGTTTTTTGCATTTCTTTACACAAAAACAGCACTTTTACTGGTGATTTTATTGTCGTGATAAGTTTTACTGTTTTAAACACTCATATTTGTGTTCAGCAAAGTCTCCTGTATGTATATGTTTTATGGTGTTTTGGAAAGTTACAGGGTCAATATAGGGCTTGCCCCATTCAGTTTGCCAGATTGGTTTGCTCGGTCTATGTTGACTTTTGAGATTTGAGACCATATGGTAGCCCAGGAATGTGAATTAACCTAATCATGGCATACCATTTTCAAATGTAGACAACCCAGGGTATTCAAAATGGGGTATTTCCAGTCTTTTGTAGTAGCCACTTCGTCACAAATGCTGGCCAAAGTTAGCGTTTTTATTTGTCTTTTGCATTTTTTTTAAATAAAAACTGCACTTTTACTGGTGATATCATCGTCGTGATAAGTTTTTATTTTTAAAACACTCATGTTTGTGTTCAGCGAAGTCTCCAGAGTATAACAATATGTACAGGTTTTATGGTGTTTTGGAAAGTTACGGTGTTAAATATAGGGCTTGCCAATTAAATTCTCTGGACTGTCTGCCTGGGTTGTCAGGCAGGTCGCTCAAATTATAATTAATAAAATCAAATAATTATGTAGTTAATAGTTAAATATATATGTAGAATGTGTATTTTTGTGTATATATATTTATATATATACACACACACACACATATAATACATGTGTATATACACACATACTTTTTTTCCTATAGATGTATAATATATTATCAAATAATTAAAGCATTTTATAATATATTATACATATATAATGCATATATATGATTACGTTATAAGTGTATTTTGAGCTATATGTGTATTTTGAGTTACCGAAACTCTAGTTTTGGGATTGGATCCTTTCCATGTCACAAGAATGTGTGTGAGGAAGACATCCCATATATTACATCATTCTTAGTTTAAATGCATAGATAAAGTACCTGTTGAGATTTAAGGGTTGGCACTAAACTCAGAGAGGACAGGCATCTTCCAAATTTTCTCCAGATACATTAATTGCCTTGTGAGCACAGTCACTTTAAATGTAAAGTAATACTCATGTATATTTTATTTTATGCATTTAGAAGTAATTCTTAAGTGAAAAGACCTTTGTGATGAACATTCAAAAAACTAAACACATACAGGATATTTCACTAAAGTGATAACTGTTTGGAATTGAAAGTAAATTCAATGTGAACTTTAAATTTAAGGCCAAAATAGCTGAACTGCAAAAAAATTCTAAGTCAGCTGCTTGTAGGCAGTGGTGTACCTACCACGGTCGCAGGGGTCGCAGCTGCAGCCACGACCCCTGCGATTGTGGGCCACCAAGATGCCGCCCCCTCCGTGTTCCCCGTCACCTAATGGACCCCCCACGGCAGGTGGCAGAGTTCCTGTCAGACGCGGCGAGGGTGCTTTTCTCTGCTCTGCTCCCTTGCGCGCCATTTGTGATGCCCGGAGCCGGAATATGACATCATATTCCGTCTCCCGGCATCAGTAGACAGAGAGAACACAGCTCCCTCGCCGCGTCTGACAGGAACTCTGCCGCCCGCTGCACTGAAGCCCCACTGGACCCCAGGGACAGATCCACGCCAGCTCTCAAGGTAAGGAGGCTGGGTGGACATTTATTATTAATAATTTGTGTGTCTGTAAGTGTATGTGTGTGTATGTATTTGTCCGTGGGTGTCTGAGTGTATGTGTGTGTGTGTCTGTAAGTGTATGTGTCTGAGTGTGTGTGTCTGTAAGTGTATGTGTGTCTCAGTGTGTGTATGTGTCTGTAAGTGTATGTGTGTCTCAGTGTGTGTGTATGTGTTTGTCTGTGGGTGTGGGTGTCTGAGTGTATGTGTGTGTGTCTGTAAGTGTATGTGTGTCTCAGTGTGTGTGTGTGTCTGTAAGTGTGTGTCTGAGTGTGTGTGTCTGTAAGTGTATGTGTGTCTCAGTGTGTGTATTTGTGTGTCTGAGTGTATGTGTGTGTGTCTGTAAGTGTATGTGTGTCTCAGTGTGTGTATGTGTGTGTCTGAGAGTGTAGGAGGTAGTTGTATGGGGGGGCCCCAGGGCAATTTTCTAGTTATGCCTCTGCTTGTAGGTCTGCTACTTTTGGCTTAAATTTGAAATTCACTTTGAATTCACATTCAATTCAAGACAATTCTCACTTTAGTGAATAAACCAGAAAGTATTTTTAGATGTGTATCATGTTTAATGGACTACAGATATAAAACATGACAGCGCTATGGAATTTGTTGGCGCTGTATAAATAATAAAATAATAATAAAATAATAATAATAATAATGACAGGGCTGATTTTTTTGGTAAATCATTTATTTTAAGGAAACACGGTACACACAGCCATCAGACATACACTCATAGCAGCTGTTACGTATTAACACACACACACAGTGTTGCATGTACCACGAAAACGTGAGAAATGTTTTAGACAAAAAATGCTAGTTTAATAAAAGGAGCCCTCCATATGGTTTTCACATTGTTTCTTAGAGTAGTGTTGGTTATGGTACACCAGAAAAGGATCACTGTTATCCATTGAGATTCCAGACATTCTTGTTTAATGGAGTGTTAAGATTACGCTTACTCAACAAAAATAATCATAAAATATCAAAGGTAATGGAGGCTTTTTGGATGCCAATCACATGTCTTCTTAAGTCACTGCTATACACCTGCAAAACAGAAAAGATCTCCCATAATAAATATAGCATATATGGCACTGTGACTGATTGAATTATGTAGCATATAGTTGATGATGGTGTGTGCATTACGTAATAGGGTCAGGCTTTGTAGAACTGTCAAAAGCTATGCAAATTTGATGGAGTGCACTGTAATGCTTTTAGTGCTTGGAGCGTTTCTTTAAAGGTACACCCTAAGCACCATAACCAGGGCTGGTGCAACCATAAGGCCACATACATTTTTGCCTTAAGGCACACTGGTCCAGGGAAGCGAGATATGGGTGACTGGCGGGGGGGAGCGCACTGCACTGTGCTCCCCTTCAGCCAATCAGTCATTGTAGTGTGGAACTTCTTTATCCTCTACCCATTTTGACAGAAAGTAGTCACAGAGACCACCGAACAGCTTCCTGTCAGACCATGGAGAGGATATAGGACCTCCTCCACGGCAGTGCGCAGCCGCCATAAGTTGTGCTGGGAGGAAGAGACAGCTGGTCACTTCCTCCCTGTTCACTCTGCACGGGAGGGAGGAGAGACAGGCCATAAAGCAGGAGTGCCCACACCAATTCACATCAGCCCCAGCCACTTTCCTGAAACTAAAACTTAAGAAACAGGAGGGTGGCTGAAAAATTATGTGTGTGTGTACAAATACAAAAAGATAAGTCCTGCGCTCACTCCCATCACTCCTGGGCGGCAGCAACGACCACAGTACATATCAGTCCCAATATATAGTAAAAACTAAAGAAAAAAAAGGGAGTGGGGGTAGGGGAAAAAAAAGTACCTGCGCTCTCTCCTTAATCCCTATGTATATTTAGACAAATGGAGGTCATTTAGTTACTCAATGGCCATTGGAGGGAATGCCTGCCTGCCAACGTCAAGGCAGACCCCCTTAAGCGGGTCCTACACTGACCCTTCATGTGTGTGTGTGTCAGTATGTGTGTATCTGTGTTTCAGTGTGTGTGTGTGTGTCAGGAATATCTGTGTGTCAGGAATGTCTGCGTTTATCTGTGTGCCAGTGTGTGTATACCTCTGTGCCAGTGTGTGTGTCTCTGTGTATCAGTGTGTATATCTGTGTGTCAGTGTCTGTATCTGTAGTTCTGAATGAAGAGCACAACCAACTAAAATAAAAAATACTTTATTATACAAATACAAGGGTAAAGGCGTATAGTGCCGAAACGTTGGGGGATTTATTTTTTACTTTTTCATTCTCCTCTCATTCACTTGGATAGGTTCTTTTGTTTCTAATATGTATTATTTGAGTAAAATTTGTTTACAGGTATCCATTTGCTTATTTCTATGTTTCTGTTTATGCCAGAGCTCTCAAATTGATTATATATGTAGGATTATATTTACACTTTGATACATTGATTGGATATTTTGTGATACCCGTTATCCTTGTATTTGTATAATAAAGTATTTTGTATTTTAGTTGGTTGTGCTCCTCATTCAGTACTATAGTATATTGTATTATTAGCCTTTGGAAACAGGGCTTTTTGAGTGAGCACCCTTTTCTTTGTATTTGCATTGATTGTTCACACATAGCTGGAAGTCGGGTGTGCCTACCATTTTTTTGTTAAATACATAGTGTGTGTATTTGTGCCTGTGTGTGTGTATCTGTGTGTGTATTCTGTGTCAATGTTTGAGTGTCTGTGTATCTGTGTGTGTGTCAGTGTGGGTATTTGTGTGTATGTGTATTTGCATGTGTGTCTGTGTATCAGTGTGTGTGGTAGACACAAATGCACACATTTGCATTCAAACACCAACATTCACACACATAACTCCATACAAGCTTACATTGAAACACAATTTGTGTATGTATGTGTGTATATGTATATATATATACATATATATATATATATACATACACACAGTGCATCCACTACACACACACTGCATCCACTACACATGCACAAACACACACTGCATCCAAAAAAACACACACCTTGTATGCACTCTACAACTGCACTCTACAAACACTGCTTCCTTGTGGGCAGATTTGGAGGTGAGTCATGTGAGCAGGATTTGGAGGCGGGCCCTCAGGGTGGGCTTAGAGACGGACCTCCGGGGGGCCCAGACCTTGAGCTTTCTGATGGCACCCTGGCTGCGGCCATGATAGTTACACAACTGACCTTGTCAGACAGTATTTTAATTTGAAAGTTAGTCGGTCTGATGATGTAACTCCACTGTGCAGGGAATGCAGCATGGCAGACCATAGACTCATAGAGACTATAAAGAGGTTTTCAAACACTGTCTAACCCAAGGTGTGTGAAGAAACCTGTGATATATTATAGGTAGTTATTTGTTTTTCTCATTGTTTAGCATATACTTAATTTAACAAATAATCTATTTCCTTTCAAAACTTTATGAAAGGATCTTTATATTAAAAAAATAGTGTTGAGGTGACAGTTGTCCTTTAAAAGGACACTCTAATCACTAAAATAATATGGAAAAATATAAAAAAGATATATGTCTGAAAGCACAACTAGTAATTCTGCAACTTCTATGTATGAGCAGGAATGGTAATATATATATAAAGGAGCACTGTGTCTTTAACACAAAATTCACACTGAATACTGAATAATAAAGTGCAGCTAAAATGATAACGTGCATTAACAGTAAGCTTCCATAGAGTGAAAATAAGCTAGGGAATGATGCCTTTTATGAGTCAGAAATAGTACTGCTGCCTTTTAGAGTAAGTGCAATAGCAGCTTGTATACAAACAACCCACTTACCATCTCTTGTCTCCGTTTTCTGCCCTTGAATTTCTTCTTTATAAGTGGTGAAAGCATCATAACAAAATACACAGACTAAGAAAAATCCAAATATCTGAGAGAGAGAGAGAAAGAGAGAGAGACTCGTGTTAACTGTGATAGATGAGAACATGGGAGGTACAATACTCAATTACTCATTAACCTGTAAATGGACTTGCAACAGAGTTAGCATAGGCATGTCTGCTTGACAGTTGAGTTTTATAACTTTATTTTAAGAGCACCCCAGCAAACACCCTCCAACCACATTAGACACACAAAACGACATATAAACCACACATACACAACCCCACAAACCACACCACAGGCAGCCCACATATACACACACATCCCCACACACAGCTCCCACTACATGACCAAATACAAGCAATCCACATGCACACATTTAATATCACAGACAGCCCACATACACACACAATGCTACAAACATCCATCAAACATAGCACCAGCATAGCCCTCCACCACACACATATAAGCAACCCCCATACACACACTAAACAGAAAGCACACATAAAGAAAATGCAGACAGTCCACACATATAATTTACACGCAGGAAGCCTACATGCACACAAACAAACACAAATAGTCCACATATATACACATACATAACACAGTCAGCCCACACACACACAATACCACTAACACTCAAACGGCTCCCATCACACACACACATGCATACAGTACCACAAGCACCACACATTCATAAACAGAACCCCACAAACAAACCCCTCCACACCATAATCAACAGAGTCGATCCTCAGCAAGCTACAAGTCAGATCCTAACAAAAGGCACGGTAGGAGGGATAAGAAAGACATATTGCTGAACCAAATAGTGGCCAGGCATAACGCTTATTATAGAAATAGGAAGTAAGCAAAATTAATACTATATTTTTTTTAAAACAGAAAAACAAAACCAATTATAACTGCACCAGGAAATAAAAAAAACAAACCAAAATTCAAGGTCAGTACTAGCCGTATCTGGGATGTCAGAATTTCAAAAACTGGTCAATTTTCAAGCTGGGTCATAAACCTGACTGACTGATGCAGGGGAATTATTTCTGGTGTATGTTCTCATCAGGCCCGGACTGGCCATCGGGCACACCGGGCAAATGCCCGGTGGGCCGCGGTGGCCATGGGCCGAGGCCGGCAGGGGAGGTCCCAGGATCTCCCCTGCCGATCTATGCAGGGCCGGCACTCTCCTAGCGCCGGCCCCGCTGTTTGCCACGACGGGCCGGTGGGAGATCAAGGATCTCCCTGACCGGCCCACATGCGGCCGCCGGCGGGGGGGGGAGGGAGGGAGCCAGCCAGGCTGGAGAGAGGACCCGGCGCGTTGCCATGGCAACAACCGGATCTCGCGAGAGTGAACTCTAGCCTCACAGGCTAGAGTTCACTCACCCACGAGGACCACCAGGGAACACTGCCACCCTGCCTGCCAGCGTGCCGGTCCCCCCCTCCCTTCCAGGCTAAAGGTAAGAAGGGGGGGGGGAATAATGCCTGTTTTTTTTAATTTTTTTATTTACCCCCCCTACACACACACACAATAACATTTATACAGCACTCTCACACCCATCACACACAGCACTCTCTCACACAGCACTCTCACACCCATCACACACAGCACTTTCACACACACAGCATTCTCTCACAGCACTCTCACACCCATCACACTCACAGCACTCTCTCACAGCACTCTCACAGAGCACTCTCACACACACACAGCACTCTCACACACCCATCTCACACACCCATCTCACACACCCATCTCACACAGCACTCTCACAGAGCACTCTCACACACCCATCTCACATAGCACTCTCACACAGCACTCTCACACACGGCACTCTCACACCCATCACTCACACACGGCACTCTCACACACATCACACACACCGCACCCCTCACACACACACACCGCACCCCTCACACACACACATACTTACCCCTCACATACACACAGAACCCCCCCAACACACTGCACAACACACATACACAATACTTCCAAATATATATATATATATATATATATATACATACATATACACACACACCACACTACACTCTTAAAGGACCACTCTAGCCACCCAGACCACTTCAGCTTAATGAAGTGGTCTGGATGCCAGGTCCTTCTAGGGTTAACCCATTGTTTTATAAACATAGCAGTTTCAGAGAAACTGCTATGTTTATCAATGGGTTAAGCCTTCCCCCAAAGCCTCTAGCAGCTGTCTCATTGACAGCCGCTAGAGGCGCTTGCGTGCTTTTCACTGTGAAAATCACAGTGAGAGCACGCAAGCGTCCATAGGAAAGCATTATAAATGCTTTCTTATGCGACCGGCTGAATGCGCGCGCAGCTCTTGCCGCGCGTGCGCATCGGAGGAGGAGAGCTCCCCACACGGCGCTGGAAAAAGGTAAGTTTTAACCCCTTTCCAGAGCCGGGCGGGAGGGGGTCCCTGAGCCACATATGCATCACATTACACCACAAACACAACACGACTAAAACCGACCTTATTACACAATACCACACCACGACCAGCTCACTCTACACACACCCAATACCACAAGCAGGCTCCAAACACATGCACAATACTCTTTCCTGGCCTTTTGTCTCCTGGTATCCATTTATAGAGACACCAGAGACAAGTTGCAAGGAAACACAGTGCAAGCATGTTATTAAATTTGCTTGCACTGTGCAGAACAAATACAGGACTTTTTTCTCATGCTAGAGCTCTTTAGCAGAGCTCTGCGCATGGTCTGCCCTGGAAGAGCATTGAACCAACATGCTCACTTTGAGAGGAGGCGTGTTTGTCATTGGTGATGACAAAACACACCTCCTCTGCCCCGCCCCCTTTTTAGTGGGCCGCTGTGTTAAAAAAATGCCCGGGCCGAATTTTTCTCCCAGTCCGGCCCTGGTTCTCATACAGACACATATTCACCTCACAAAGCATCCACTGCACCCATCCAATGTACCCATACATACACTGCTATTTCTAACTGGATGGCTGCCCACTTCCTTAACCCCTTAAGGACCAAACTTCTGTAATAAAAGGGAACCATGACATGTCACACATGTCGTGTCCTTAAGGGGTTAAACTAAACTTGACCAAAACTGAAATTCTGGTCTTTCCTCCCTCAAGTGTTGTTACTCTGTGTCTGTGTCCCTCCAAGTTAACGGTGCTACCATCAGCTCCACCACGCAGGCTCGCTGCCTAGGTGTTCTCTTTGACTCCGACCTCTCCTTCAAGCCTCATGTTCAATCTATCTCCAAATCCTGTCATTTCCATCTCAAAAACATTGCGCGCATAAACCCCTACTTAACGCCAGAGGCGACTAAGGTGTTGGTCCATTCCACTGTCCTTTCTTGCCTTGACTACTGTAATCTGCTTCTCAGTGATCTTACGTATTCCCAACTTGCGCTGTTACAGCGAGGCTCATCTTCCTGTCCGCCCACACCTCCCATGCCTCACCCTTTTGTCAGTTCCTACACTGGCTTCCTATAAAATATAGAGCTCAATTTAAAATTCTGGTTCTTGCTTTCAATCGCTACATAATGCTGCTCCCACCTATCTATCCTCCCTTATACACAAGTATGTCCCGTCTAGGCCCTTACGATCTGTTGAAGACTTACGTCTATCTTCTGTCAGTACTCCCACCTCTGATGCCCGCCTTCAAGATTTCTCGAGGGCTGCACTGTTCATGTGGAACTCGCTTCCCTCCTCCGTTAGATCCTCACCTAGTCTCCACTCCTTCAAAAAATCGTTAAAAACCCACTTCTTCACGAAAGCGTATCAATTAAACTGTTAATAGCTGCTGATTGATTCCTCTTCTGCAACTGTCACTGGTCTAATACTATCCTTACCTTTTTGTGTCATTTTACCCCACTCCCTCTAGCATGTAAGCTCATTGAGCAGGGCCCTCAACCCCTCTGTTCCTGTGTGTCCAACTTGTCTGGTTACAACTACATGTCTGTTGGTCCACCCATTGTAAAGCACTGCGAAATTTGTTGGCACTATATAAATAACATAATAATAACATAACACAAGCAGAATTAATCAATATCAGTAAACAATACTTTAAACAAATTACGACTGGCACCCTAAGAAAGTTTAAAGTTTTACTTTGGCATGACACTGCCAGTTTGTTTGTTTGATTAAAACCAAATATTCTTTATGATTAAGTAATCAATAAATCAATAAAAAAAAATTGCACAAACTAAGAAAAGGCTACCCATTCTTATACAAGTAGAAATATATGATTATTATCTAACATCACATCAGACTCGACACACTAGAGTCAATAGGCAAAAGGGCAAATACCAGCAAACAAAATAAAAAAAAATAGGCATACAGTTAAATGATGGTGAAGAGTTAGACGAATAATGGTTTCACAATGCTAGTAAAACAAAACTGTATAGAAAATACTGAGTACTATTAGAAACAAATATATAGATATTTCAAGATTCTAAAAACAGTGGTTCATAACCCTTGGTCAGGACCCAAAGCTAGGTTCCCATGCTGCTTACAATGGGTCCCCACAGTCTGGAACAAGCCCCAGGCAACCACTCACAATACACTGTTTGGTGTAGAAGCAATGATGGCCCGATGCTATGAAGTCCATGCAAACAATTTCATGAAGGTGTTTTGAATACACAAAGAAAAATCCAAATATCTGAGAGAGAGACTCCTGTCAACTGTGAAATCTGAGATCATGGGAGGTACAATACTCAATTGCTCATTAACCTGTAAATTGACCTTCAACAGAGTTAGCACAGGCATGTCTGCTTGACAGCTGAATTTTATAATAGCTTTATTTTAGTAAAGGGCACCCCAGCAAACACCGGCCGACCACAATTTACATATAAAACTAGATATAAACCACACATACACAAGCCCACTAACACCACCACAGACAGCCCACATATACACACACAACCCTCCATACAGTTCCCACTACACAACCAAATACTACAAGCAATCCACATGCATACATTTAATATCACAGACAGCCCACATACACACAATACCACAAAAAGCAAGTTATATATTATACTTGAAAATGAGAAAAATCTCAATGTATCATTCCTGGTAAAATATTTTATAAATAAATAAATATTACAACTAAATAGATGACACATCTAATTTTACAATTGGAGAATGAGATGTCATTCAATAGCCATGTATATAATTTTCCCCTAGAAAAAAGGGACTTATAATACAGTGGGACAATAATAAGTTTTTTTGATAATATGTCAATGGTAAATAACACATCATTGAGTGTGACTTGTCTAAATCATAAAATAAAATCCAAAATAAAAAGACACATATCACAGACGCAGATCAGCCTGTAATCACTTAAGCGACACAGCAGACCACATGCACAGGCCACACACAAACACGCAAGCTCCTATGATCTCAGCCTGAACACAATAGCCGTACTACACCAAAACTAAATACTAACACCACAACCAGACCCGCCACACATTGCCTCCTCAGTAATAGACAATAGGCAACGTGACTCTACACGACTACTCCCTAGCCACAGATGGTCAATGGCACTAGAAACAGAGGGTACCAAACAAAGAATTCTTCATGGGGAAAGTAATGGAAACCATGTTAAAGGATAGGATTGTTGAACATCTAAAAACACATGGATTTTAAGATCAGAGACAACATAGGTTTACTTCAGGGAGATCATGCCAAACTAATCTTATTGATTTTTTTGATTGGGTAACTAAAATAATAGATCAGGGTGGTGCAGTAGACATTGCTTACCTAGGTTTCAGTAAGGCTTTTGACACTGTTGCACATAGAAGGCTTATCAATAAACTGCAATCTTTAAGTTTGGATTCTAATATTGTTGAATGGGTAAGGCAGTGGCTGAGTGACAGGCAACAGAGGGTTGTAGTCAATGGAGTATATTCAAAGCTTGGGCTTCTCACCAGTGGGGAATCTCAGGGATCTGTATTTGGACCCATTCTCTTTAATATTTTTATTAGTGAAATTGCAGAACGACTTGATGGTAAGGTATGTCTTTTTGCTGATGATACGAAGATATGTAACAGGGTTGATGTTCCAGGAGGGATAAGCCAAACAGCAAATGATTTAGGTAAACTAGAAAAATGGTTAGAGTTGTGGCAACTGACATTTAATGTGGATAAGTGCAAGATAATGCATCTTGGACGTAAAAACCTAAGGGCAGAGTACAGAATATTTGATCGAGTCCTAACCTCAACATCTGAGGAAAGGGATTTAGGGGTGATTATTTCTGATGACTTAACCCCTTAAGGACACATGACATGTCATGATTCCATTTTATTCCAGAAGCTTGGTCCTTAAGGGGTTAAAGGTAGGCAGACAAATGCTAGCAGAATGCAGGAAATGCCAGCAGAAAGCTTGGTTGTATAAGGAGAGGTATTAGCAGTAAAAAGAGCGAAGTGCTCATGCCATTGTACAGAACACTGGTGAGACCTCACTTGGAGTATTGGACGCAGTACTGGAGACCGTATCTTCAGAAGGATATTGATACTTTAGAGAGCGTTCAGAGAAGGTCTACTAAACTGGTCCATGGATTGCAGGATAAAACTTACCAGGAAAGGTTAAAGGATCTTAACATGTATAGCTTGGAGGAAAGAGGAGACAGGGTGGATATGATAGAAACATTTAAATCATGGGTCGTCAACCTGGTCCCTACCGCCCACTAGTGGGCATTTCAGGATTCCAGGTGGGCGGTAGAGATTTCAGCGGCTAAATCCTCCTTTTTTGAGGATTTCTTTTGGGCGGGCGCAAGCAGCTATGAGGGAGCAAGATTTCAGTGACTGGCAGGAGGGAAGCGCTCCCTCCTGCCAGACCACCTTCTGGACCCCCGGCATTGTGTGCGGCAGTGGTAAGATCAGACGCGGCAAGGGAGCTCTAACCTCTCTCCTCTCATATTCCAGCTCCCGGCATCAGTAGACAGCCCGCGAGGGAGCAGAGCAGAGAGGTTAAAGCTCCCTCGCCCCCTCGGATTAGAACTCTGCTGCCCGCTGAAGTGAAGCCCCACTGGACTCCAGGGACAGATCCGCACCAGCTCTCCAGGTAGGGAGGCTGGGTGGACATTTAATATTAATAATTTGTGTGTATGTAAGTGTATGTGTGTGTGTCTGTAAGTGTATGTGTGTGTGTGTGTCTGTAAGTGTATGTGTGTGTCTGTAAGTATATGTGTGTATGTATGTGTGTGTGTGTGTCTGTAAGTGTATGTGTGTATGTGTGTGTCTGTAAGTATATGTGTGTATGTGTGTGTGTCTGTAAGTGTATGTGTGTATGTGTGTGTCTGTAAGTATATGTGTGTATGTATGTGTGTGTCTGTAAGTGTATGTGTGTGTGTCTGTAAGTATATTTGTGTGTCTGTAAGTGTATGTGTGTCTGTCTGTAAGTGTGTGTGTGTGTCTGTAAGTATATGTTTGTATGTGTGTCTGTAAGTGTATGTGTGTGTCTGTAAGTATATGTATGTGTGTATGTATGTGTGTGTGTCTGTAAGTGTATGTGTGTGTGTAAGTATGTGTGTGTGTCTGTAAGTGTATGTGTGTTTGTCTGTAAGTGTGTTTGTGTCTGTAAGTGTGTTTGTGTCTGTAAGTATATGTGTGTATGTGTGTGAGCCTGTAAGTGTATGTGTGTGTGTGTCTGTAAGTGTATGTGTGTGTGTGTCTGTAAGTATGTATGTGTGTCTGTCTGTAAATGTATGTGTGAGTGTCTGTAAGTGTATGTGTGAGTGTATGTATGTTTGTCTGTGTGTATGTGTTTCTCTTGGAGTGTGTCTGTAAATGTATGTGTGAGTGTGTGTGTGTATGTTTGTCTGTGAGTGTGTGAGTGTCTGTATGTTTATCTGTGTGTATGTGTTTCTCTGTGAGTGTGTGTGTGTCTGTACGTGTATGTGTGAGTGTTTGTCTGTGAGTGAGTGTGTGTGTCTGTAAGTGTGTGTGTGTATGTTTGTCTGTGAGTGTATGTGTCTGAAAGTGTATGGGTGAGTTTGTGTGTGTTTGTCTGTGAGCAGAGTACTTATAGAATAGAAGAAAGAAGGAGCAGAGTATTTGTAAAAAGGAGAAAGAAGGCGCAAAGTACTTGTAGAATAGGAGAAAGAAGGAGTAGAGTACTTGTAAAAAAGGAGAAAGAAGGAAAATAAAAAGGAAAAGGAGAGAATTGTTGTTGGCTAATAATAGTAAGTGGGCTGCGTAGCTCAGCCTTCCTGCTGGGCATTGCTATAAGGAAAGTAAAAAAATAGAAAAAAGGAAGAAAAAACGGTGGGGAGGGGAATTGAGGAGGGAGAGGAGGGGAGCTGATGCACAGAAGAGAAATCATATTATGAGCAAACAGAGAAATCGTCTGAATATCACAGAAAGAGGAGACCTTCGTTTGTTCCTTACGAAAATCGAACCTGATATCAAATATTTAGTCTCGCAGCATCAACCTCAAGGATCTCATTAATCACTAGTAAAGGTAATTTCAATTTACTTTATTGTTTTCTCATTAAACTTTATAAAGCTAAAAACATTATAAACATGCATAAAGTAGAAATAAAAAGATAAATGTACGGGCATTTATTTTTTTTTAAAACACCCTCCTTTCTAAAAAATATTCTGCACTTGCGCAAAAACTGGTGGGCGGTAAGGAAATTTTTCCATCAAGAAAGATGCATTAGTGGGCGGTAGGTAGAAAAAGGTTGACTACCAGTGATTTAAATACATAAAGGGAATCAACACAATAAAGGAGGAGACCATATTTAAAAGAAGAAAAACTACCACAACAAGAGGACATAGTCCTAAATTAGAGGGGCAAAGGTTTAAAAATAATATCAGGAAGTATTACTTTACTGAGAGGGTAGTGGATGCATGGAATTGCCTTCCAGTTGAACTGGTAGAGGTTAACACAGTAAAGGAGTTTAAGCATGCGTGGGAAAGGCATAAAGCTATCCTAACTATAAGATAAGGCCAGGGACTATGAAAGTATTTAGAAAATTGGGCAGACTAGATGGGCCGAATGGTTCTTATCTGCCGTCACATTCTATGTTTCTATGTTTACATAAATAGAGCCAGCCATACACCATAAACCAACTCTACTGGACACCATAAACCAACTCTACTGGACCCGCTGTCCATTTAGCCCTACCACCACCAGACCCAGACAGCGTTGTAGGCGACCTTAGAGGGATTCCCACTCCCCTTACGAATACACCACTTCCCGTTAAAACCTCTCACACCAACCAAAATTAGAAAATGAAGCAAACTGCACTATAAACATAACTATGTACTGAGTTGAAAGTTTGAACACCTTGACGTGGCTGTTGTGGCAACTCAAGGTACTTGTTATGATTCTTGCACTGAAAAATAAAGAATTTAAAAAAAAAGACACATATCTCATCTGGTAAAGATACATACATTTAAAACAAGTTGAACAAATATGAAAAAGTGTGGGAATCTAATATAATTAATATAAAACACCCAGGGTATAAAGTAGTGTCAAACGCAATACAATGTAATACAACCTGTAAACAACTTTATTAAAACTTATATTTTGTTTGACACTACTTTATATCCTTGGTATTTTATATTAATTATATTGGATTTCTCCACATTTTTGTATTTGTTCACTTCTGTTTTGGTGTTTAACACTTTCAAGGTTTTTTCATTCCATATATATTTTAACAGACTTTATCAGAATATAGTGGTATATTTTCTTAACTTCATTGAAAACAAGTTTCCTTGTTTTCAGTATTTAGTGAGTATGTAAGCAGCCAGACAAATCCCTCCCTAACCAGCAAGAGACTCTTATCTCACACACCTCTGACCAGTAGGTGTTTATGGGATAATTAGCTTATCCTAATCAGCAGTGTCACTCATCTCTTGTTGAGAAAATGCTGAGAGTGCTCTAATGAAAAGCTGTGGTGGTGCTTAGAGTGACCCTTTAATTTTATCATATTAATTTATGATCAATAATAACTTATGACACAGTTATGATATTAATTGTATTATATCTTATAATACTGACACCTTTGTACTGTTGTACCATGCTGATGTTAAATAAAAATTTAAAAGAAACTGTTTCTTTATCAGTTGTTCATGCTATGATATGTGGGAACCCAAAATTAGGAAAATTAAAAACAAAAAGCCTAATTATAATTAGCAACTTGTTAGATAAACTGTTCAAATGATTTGATATTTTTAATATTATTTCAAAATATTAAAATATAAAAACACTCACACAATTAAATTAGCGTATGCAACAATATTAAATCGGGGACTTAGTACGTTGCTATAAAACAAGGAGAGTTAAATGTTGGAACGAGGGACCATTGTATCTCATGAGTTTAGTGTTTCTGCACTTGACAGCCCCATTCCATAAGTTTATAAGTATTTCTACTTCTACTTCTGCTGTTTCTGTTTTTGCTACAATAAGGGTTACTCTGATGCAAAATGTATCCAAGGAAATGGCTCGATTTGACAGCGACTGGTGAGCTTACCAAAATAAATTAATGACTCCACTTGGCATGATCTGCCCAGACTTAAGTTCATTAGCTTAAAGGACCACTATAGTGTCAGGAAAACAAACTCGTTTTCCTGACTCTAAATAATCCTTAGGTCCACCCCACCCTTACGGCCCCCCTCCCTCTTGGCTGAAGCGGTTAAAATCTCTCCTCCCCCTACGATGTCAGCTCCCGAGTGGAGCCGAATGCGCATGCGCAGGCAGAGCATTAAAAACGCGCATTACATTTCTCAGTGCTTTCCTGTAGATGTTCTGCGTGCTCAATGCGATTTTTGCATTGAGCGTCGGGGAAGCGCCTCTACAACTCTATACGTACATATAAAATTGCTGCCTAGGAAAATGATAAGGTAACGTGACCATATACAGGGAGTGCAGAATTATTAGGCAAGTTGTATTTTTGAGGATTAATTTTATTATTGAACAACAACCATGTTCTCAATGAACCCAAAAAACTCATTAATATCAAAGCTGAATATTTTTGGAAGTAGTTTTTAGTTTGTTTTTAGTTATAGCTATGTTAGGGGGATATCTGTGTGTGCAGGTGACTATTACTGTGCATAATTATTAGGCAACTTAACAAAAAACAAATATATACCCATTTCAATTATTTATTATTACCAGTGAAACCAATATAACATCTCAACATTCACAAATATACATTTCTGACATTCAAAAACAAAACAAAAACAAATCAGTGACCAATATAGCCACCTTTCTTTGCAAGGACACTCAAAAGCCTGCCATCCATGGATTCTGTCAGTGTTTTGATCTGTTCACCATCAACATTGCGTGCAGCAGCAACCACAGCCTCCCAGACACTGTTCAGAGAGGTGTACTGTTTTCCCTCCTTGTAAATCTCACATTTGATGATGGACCACAGGTTCTCAATGGGGTTCAGATCAGGTGAACAAGGAGGCCATGTCATTAGATTTTCTTCTTTTATACCCTTTCTTGCCAGCCACGCTGTGGAGTACTTGGACGCGTGTGATGGAGCATTGTCCTGCATGAAAATCATGTTTTTCTTGAAGGATGCAGACTTCTTCCTGTACCACTGCTTGAAGAAGGTGTCTTCCAGGAACTGGCAGTAGGACTGGGAGTTGAGCTTGACTCCATCCTCAACCCGAAAAGGCCCCACAAGCTCATCTTTGATGATACCAGCCCAAACCAGTACTCCACCTCCACCTTGCTGGCGTCTGAGTCGGACTGGAGCTCTCTGCCCTTTACCAATCCAGCCACGGGCCCATCCATCTGGCCCATCAAGACTCACTCTCATTTCATCAGTCCATAAAACCTTAGAAAAATCAGTCTTGAGATATTTCTTGGCCCAGTCTTGACGTTTCAGCTTGTGTGTCTTGTTCAGTGGTGGTCGTCTTTCAGCCTTTCTTACCTTGGCCATGTCTCTGAGTATTGCACACCTTGTGCTTTTGGGCACTCCAGTGATGTTGCAGCTCTGAAATATGGCCAAACTGGTGGCAAGTGGCATCGTGGCAGCTGCACGCTTGACTTTTCTCAGTTCATGGGCAGTTATTTTGCGCCTTGGTTTTTCCACACGCTTCTTGCGACCCTGTTGACTATTTTGAATGAAACGCTTGATTGTTCGATGATCACGCTTCAGAAGCTTTGCAATTTTAAGAGTGCTGCATCCCTCTGCAAGATATCTCACTATTTTTGACTTTTCTGAGCCTGTCAAGTCCTTCTTTTGACCCATTTTGCCAAAGGAAAGGAAGTTGCCTAATAATTATGCACACCTGATATAGGGTGTTGATGTCATTAGACCACACCCCTTCTCATTACAGAGATGCACATCACCTAATATGCTTAATTGGTAGTAGGCTTTCGAGCCTATACAGCTTGGAGTAAGACAACATGCATAAAGAGGATGATGTGGTCAAAATACTCATTTGCCTAATAATTCTGCACTCCCTGTATATCCATGATACACATTTGTATTCCAAACGCTATAGTGTTCCTTTAAGTGAATTGGAGTATTTGGCTGTATCTCAAGTTTGAAAATAAACTTGAAAAAATCTGAAATATTCAGTATTACAATCCAGACCAGTTCTTCCACTTCTTTACAACATAGTTTGTAGTTTCATTGTGGTACACCCACCCTTTATTACAAGTAGAAGTAATTTACCCATTGATCCCTCACAGATCTAACAATACAATTACCTATCTCTGAGTAAATCTGAACTGATGACGTGGTCCTTCCTGTAAATCACGTGTTTGGGGAGGATAAGAAATTACAGATTAACATCTGCCATAGAACAAATTTCATCTGTAAAAATCCAACCATATTCTCTGAGTATGGGTGTAAACTCAAAAGGGGTTAAAAGAAAAAAACAGTTAAAGTGTGTCTTGAGAGCTTGGGATTTCAAATGCAGTATCAGGTCTGTTTAGATTTTCTTGGGTTGCAGTAAAACAATGAAATATTTGAGTTGTCAAGTTGAATGCGGAGAAAGGAGAGGAGGGTTTAACCCTTAAGGACCAAATGTAAAATTTGGCGATCATCTCAGTCAGTTTCCAAAATGTCTTATTGCAGCATAGAAAGTCCAGTTTATCTGGCATTTGCAAATCCATGGAGATTTACTTTTGTTTATTGAGTTAGACATTCTGTTAGTATTAGATATTGTAAGTATAAGATCTTAAAAGAACAGGACATAGGCTGGCATTGGTCCTCAAAGGGCTAAGAAAAGAATGTTACCCAAATGGGGTGGGAGGGGGGGGCGAGAAAATCAGATCTTGCTGATTTCCTTGCCACTCACATTTTATAAACCTGCAGAAGTCAACTTCTCACATATAAACTGTCTTCCAGAAGGCTACCTGTTGCAAAGGGCAGTGGAACAGCTGATGGAGCTCTGTGTTGCTTGCAAGTATGGGGCTGGGTAAGTTTTAAATCAGGCTGAGGGAGAGAGATATTTTAGGGTCAGATGGGCCTGCAATAAAGCTAAGGAATGGGGGAGATGCATCTGTGGACATTTGAGGATAAGGGTCATTCAAGCAAATACAAAGGGAAATATAAAAAAATCACAGAGATAATACAGAGGTATTCATGTAGGGAAACAAAACCATTAAACAAATAAGAAAGATATATGGCAAAAAAAGGTGGCGGGGAGGCGGTGCCACATGTGAAAAAAACCTGATTATGAACTATACAAGCACATATACAAGACACTACATAAGAGAAAATGCATACAAGATTTTAAAAAAAGAGAGTTTGAAATATAGATAATGAATAATAATCAGGAGTCGAAAAACTAAGTCCAAAAGAGTCTATGCCTGATAAATACAGCAAAATGGCCAACAAAAACCTTGTATAAGACATCAATCACAATCTTTTCAAGGGAAGTATATCCCAACAGGTACTAAGTACTATTTTGTAAGAGGTCTATATGGTCCTACTCACGTTTTCCAGAGCTATAAGACTAGCTCTAGTGCGGATGGCATACAGTGGTACAGTCCCCCTTATGGGATACGTGAAGTTTTGTAGTAGATGGATATCTTTCATGGAAATATATTCATTGAAAATAAGAAAAGAAATAATAATAATCACCAAGTATAAAAACACACACAACAGAAATTACAGGGTATGTAAAATATAATGAAATTAAGGTCTTCCAGAAGGCTACCTGTTGCAAAGGGCAGTGAAACAGCTGATGGAGCTCTGTGTTGCTTGCAAGTCTGGGGATGGATAAATCAGGCTATCGTGGTTTCCATCCTGGTTATCCGAGAGCACGTTTCTGGTATTGTTTCTTGTGTAATTTGACCTTGGCTTTGTTATTGACTATTCCGATCTCTGTATACCTTGAACTTTGGCTTGGCTTCTGACTATTCTGACTTCTATATTCCTTGACCTTTGGCTTACATTTACGTGCTTTTCTTTTTATATGTTCTTTTTATATGTTAAATCCGGCCGTTCTAAGGCCCAGTAATACGTCTTAGGGTTTTCTTTAAAGGAAAACAATCCTCTCCCTCCCACCTCCCATCCCAGGTAGCTGAACGGGTGAAAAGCCCTTCAGGTCACTTACCTGAGACACCGCCAATGTCCCTTGGCGGTGGTTTCGGGTTGGCGTCGCTCCTCCCAGTAATCACGTCAGCCGGTGGGTGAGACTGATCCCCCCGCCGGCTGAGGAAACCTATTGCGCATGCGCATTAGGTCTCCCCATAGGAAAGCATTGAAAAATATTTTCAATGCTTTCCTATGGGGAATTGAGCGACGCTTGAGGTCCTCACAAAAAATCTTTGCTATGAATCAGGAAGTGCCCTCTACTGGCTGTCTAGTAGACAGCCACTAGAGGTGGAGTTAACCCTGCAATATAATTATTGCAGTTTATAAAAAAACTGCAATAATTACAGTTGCAGGGTTAAGAGTAGTGGGAGTTGGCACCCAGACCACGCCAATGGGCAGAAGTGGTCTGGGTGCCTGGAGTGTCCCTTTAATTTTACTTAAGTTCTGCGTGTTGGGCATATTAGTGTATTCTGACAATACCTCAGCACAGAAGGCACCTGTCATTGTTGAATATATTTATTACCTGTTATGTATTAAATTTATATGTGTGTGTGTGTGTGTGTGTTTGTATGTGTGTATGTATGTATGTATACGTATATATATATAAAGTTTTGTAATATTGTATCCTATTGTAACAATGCAATGTTTTGTGGATCCAGGACATGCTTGAAAACGAGAGAAATCTCAATGTATTCATCCTGGCAAAATATTTATAAAAAAATATAGAAAGTTATAATTAGGCTGTCCATATTCGGACTTTGGAATGGTTCACTAAAACACCATACAAAGTGTAGAATGTAGTTTCACTCCTAATTTGCCACTTATACATTTATTATATAGATTTTAAATAAAGTACTGAGTAAATCCAGGAATTTGACTTTCCCCTCCAATACGCATTGCTTTTTAAAAAAATTCTTTATTTAAGAGACGAGATCAAGACACAAATTTATGACAGCCAACCTGATCACTCCACCTGATTTCTCAGTTTGTTTCCTCTATTCATCCTACTAGATTCCTCCATTACATTTAAAACAGTTAAATGACCACTATAATCACCCAGACCACTTCATTCAGATGAAGTCTGGGTTAGTGTCACTGATATTTTTCACCCACAATGTAAAACATTGCTGACTGTTTTAGTGATATTGCAATGCTTTCATTGTGGGATTAAACACACCTCAATGACTTTCTTCCTGACAGTGACTAGAAGGTGTTTCTGCAGTGAGAACCGAGGTTGACTCGGTTGACTGATAGAAGCATTTGATTGGTGGATCACAAGGACACACATTTGCCACTCTACGAGAAGCATTTGATTGGACAAAATGGTCATCAGGCTTGGATAGAGATACCAAGAAGAGGGTATCTCAGGGCTGTATTGCAGATAAGTTAAGGATTATTTAAATGGCATTTAAATGAAAAACTAAGGGCCCTGTAGTCTAAACAGCCTATGAAAGACAATAGAATAACAAAGAAAATTAAACTACCCCAGTGTTTATTTTTTATTTTTGTATTCTTTATTTAGAGCTTGTTCCAGGTTGTCACACTGAACATTTTAAATAAAAGCATGACATAGACCACATAAAACAGACAAATAAAACAGTGTATTGCTTTGCTAGCCGATGAATAACTGGATCAAGGGCTTTAATGTATATTAATAGTAATATTAAACGGGCTGATTAAATGCTGTGAACTCCGCCTGAATGTCAAGGGGATTTTATGGAGGGGTGGGTGGGGTATATCTAATGGAGCAGTCCACACATAAAGTATAGAGAGGGCAAGACCCAGTACAGGTGATGCCAAGTTAGTAATGGCTTCCGGGGCGGGGGGGATTGGGGAGTTATCAAAGACGACATTTTGGCTTAGTGCAATGAAAGAAATTGAGGCACAAAATGAAACCGCAAAAGCAATATAAATTAAAACTGTGCTATGCAGCGTCCCGGGCTGCCCAAAAATGAGAGTCATGACTTGCACTTTGCACAGGTCCTGCAGGAAGGTGCGGGATTCTGTCGCCGCCATCACCGCGCGCTTGTTCCTGAGCAATTGAAAGAGGAGCAGAACAGCACAGGTGGCTTGGGGAGCCTGTAAGTCCATCTATCAGTGCATTCTTAGGATTGCCAAGAGGAGACGTCAGAGGAATTGCGTCAGTTCACCGTCAGAGATGGGTAATGAACGGCAAGTTGGAAAGCACAACGTATTGGTATACCATCATGTGACTGGAAATAAGGGAGGAATCCGGAAATCATTGGAAATGAGGCTTGAAACGCTGGGCATCACCGTTCCCATGGTGATAGCCCGCGAATTCACAAGCCGGAAACCCATCACCGGAAGTAAGGGAGGAATCCGGAAATCATTGGAAACGAGGCTTGAAACGCTGGGCTTCACCGTTCCTATGGTGAGCGCCCGCAAATTCACAGGCCAGAAACCCATCACCTTGAAGAGATATATAAAGCAGGACTTGTCCCACAGAAGATATGAGGACTTTTTACATTTTTCACATCCAGTTGAAGAAGCTTTTTATCGAAACGCATCCTGGGAATTTTATGAGAAATAGTCTTCATCGAATTGGACTTTTTATGCCTAGTTAGTAATTGTATATATATATATATATATATATATTATTTTTTTTATGTACTAATAAAGGTAATTTATATTTTTTACCATTACTACTGGCATTGTTCCTGCTATTTTTTAAAAAGAAGGATTGTGGTCCTTGACCACATACACTCCCTGATCAGAGCCGATGTGGAAGGCTCTGGGCTTGTAAGTACGAATTTTACTCTTTCCACCATTATTTTAAACCAACGATATTGCACCATATGTGTTCTCCCTTACTCTAAAAATCAAGAAAGGGAAGAACACTTACCAAAGAAGGGATAGGGTCGCCTCCACGGACCCCACGAGCTATTGTATTGAGCTATACATACTTAGCTCTTAAAAGTGAGAGTGGGAATTTTTTCACTCTATATTCATACATACCTTTTATACCACAGTATACACTATGTTTGGTTGTATTTGTTTATATTTTTAAGGTATTGCATACCACCAATGGAAGATTTTGTATAAACATTAAGGTATTGTTACACAGAAGTTGATACACCAGTATGTTTTTGCACATTGTTGATTTTACCAATATACAGTGCTTCACCTTCACTTCACGATTTAACTATCTTAAAGATAAGAATTTGGTGTTACAGCAGCAGATTTACCTCACTTGTCTTATATATTAGCGCTAGTACCTTCCTCTAGTTTTGGGTTCTGAAATACCTCTAACTTTGCGGTTGTTGCACAGACATGAATCATTCATAGCATCCAGTCAGGCCTGATTAGCTTTGTGTGAGGTTTGTAGTTGTTGACGCTGTTCTTCTGCATCCACATGGCACTGTGAGAGGGTGGACATTTCTGTCAGCAATGGCTGTCAGCTCCTCCTGCATCACTGCCAGGTCGGCACAGAATAAGGTACGTATGTTGACCATCAGGTCCATAATATCATCTTTGGTGGCTGGAGCCCACCTGTCCTCAAACTGTTGCAGGGCATCAGGGTGAAGAGCCCTTGGTAGAACATCTGTGGCGTCCATTAGTTCTGGCTGTGCCGCTTCTTTGGCCTAGGCCTTGCCCGAAAGAGGTCTCTAATGTTCCAGCTTCCCTCCCCAGAAAGAGTTTTGAGTTTCTTAGATTTTTTCCAAATGACGTTCTAAGTAACAGGGGCACCGATGAGGTTGAATTGCCGCTGGATGATCAGTGAAAATGATCGGTGAAATTTTATATTCTGTGGTGCTGGAGCTCTGCCGAAATACGATCGCTCTTGGTCAAGCCACACACCACCAGTGTTTCTATAATTAAGGTACATACAGGGTTCAAATCTGACATTCTTTTCTTAGCCCTTCGGGGACCAATACCAGTCTATGTCTTCATAACTGTCCTGTTCTTTTAAGATCTTACACGAACAATATCTAATACTAACAGGATGTCCAACTCAATTAACAAAAGTAAGGCTGCATGGAGCTGCCAATGCCAAATAAACTGAACATTATATGCTGGAATAAGACATTTTGGAAACTGACTGAGATGATAGCAAAGTTTAACATTTGTTCCTTAAGGGTTAAACCCTCTCTTCTGGACTACATCCAATTTGACAACTCAAGCATTTCTTTGTTTTACTGCAACCCAAGAAAATCTAAACAGACCTGATACTGCATTTGAAATCCCAAGCTCTCAAGACACACTGTAACTGTCTTATTCTTTTAATCCCTTTCGAGTTCACACCCATAACCAGAGAAAAAAAATTATTTCTAGAGAAAAAATGTGTTCACTAATGAACTTGTCTTTTGCTATGCTGGCAGACACTAAATAAAGACGACTACCTGGTATCATTAGACTTTGTATGTTGGTAAAATGTTAGACTTGTATAGTAAAATGTAGATTTTTCTTGAACACTTTGAGAAGAAAACTGTTTTAGTATTGAAAACAAGATTTCCATAATTCCAATTAATGTTTCACTGGTTAGAATGCTACAGAATTCTTGTACATATTTTGTACATATCTTTTTCATTCTCTCTTCTCAATGGGAAGCTTTTGATAGGCTGAAAGCATCAGCTGGACAAGGGTCATCATGGGCAGTCTGAGCTATCTGTGGCTAAGTAGCCCATACACAGCCAGCTAAGAAGCACTGCCTGTTCTGATACCTTTCGATCATGGTCAGCATTAAGATTTCTAGCAATTTGAGCAGCAGTAGCTCTATTGTGTGATCGGTCCATATAGGCTAGCTTTCACTCCACTTGTGCACCAATGAGCCTTGGGTATTTATGACCTTGATGCTGATTCATCGGTTTTCCTTCTTTGAACCACTTTTTTGTAGGTAATAACCACTGCATACTGGGAAAACCCCAAAAGACTTGCCATTTTGGGACGCTCTGACCCATCTAGCCATCACTATTCGGTCAATGTCAATCAGATCGTTTCACTTGTCCATTTTTCCAGCTTCCAACACATGAAATTCAAATGGCCCGTTCACTTGCTGGCTTATAAATTCCACCCTTGGCAGGTGCCATTGTAATGATTTATTTTTTATAATGCTCTATTTTTGAAGTGCATGGGATAAGCAAAGATTACACAATGTACTCCTTTAAGTTAACATGAAATGAGGCATAAAGATAAAGTGTACAAAAGTTGGCAAATATGCTGTTCAGTTTGGACACAATATCAGGTTTTTCTCCACAGCATTCAGTGGAACACGTCTGCCATGATGTGTGTCTCCATATTATTTGTTCCTGGTTGTCTTGCCCAACACAGCCGAGTTGCCTCCTAGGAGTGGACCAGAATCACTCCCACTGTTCCACATGGGAGGGGGGTAGAAGATCCTTCCAAGGAAGGAACAAGGACAGCAGCCGACTCTCCCCATCTCCACCACCCAATGGGAATTGTTATACACAACAAATTAGGCAGCAATATGCAATGTCAATCTGCAGTTGCTAAGGCCAGTAAGGTTTTGTCATGTATAAATAGGGGCATAAATTCTCAGGATGAAAATATAATTTTGCCTCTTTATAAATAGCTGGTAAGACCACACCTGGAATATGTTGTGCAATGTTGGACACCTGTTCTAAAGAAGGATATCATGGCACTAGAAAAAGTGCATAGACGAGCTACAAAATTGATAAAAAGGAACGGAGCATTTTAGTTACAAAGAAAGGTTAAAAAATGTAAATGTCTTTAGTTTGGAAAAAACGGAGCCTCAGAGGGGATATGATAACATTATACAAATATATTCGGGGCCAGTACAAGCCATTATCTGGAAATCTATTCATAAACCGGGCTATACATAGGACACAAGGTAACACATTTAAGAAAAGTTTTTTTTACAGTAAGAGCAATAAGGATATGGAATTCTGTGCTTGAATAGGTGGTTTTAACAGAGTCCATACAGATGTTTAAACTGCAATTGGATAAATACTTGCTAAATATAACATACAAGGATATAATTTCTAATTAGTGATGAGCCGTGGGCGAAATGCGCGCGTCAGGGGAGCTCGTGGTTCTGACACCGTGGATTTAGACCAGATTATACCACAGTTGTTTAAACTTCGAGCGACCTTACCACTCTAGCTTTAGATACACCCACTATTCCCTTATGATGGAATTTAAGATACTAGGTATTTCATTTTACGATGAAATACATGAGTTATTATTATATTTCCGCAAGCTGGAGAGGCTAGGCTTCTATTCACCTTTGCTGATACATTTTGTTTATCATGCTTCGAGCATTGGCAACATTGTATTTACTCCTTATTCGAGACAGTGTAGTTTGATATGCTGTAGGAGAAGCCTCTATCCGCTATAATATTGAGGTTTTATTCTTTCAGCATAGGTGTATTGCAAAACATACTTTTGCACACACTATTGGCTGTTGGTTTCTGAAAACTTTTGAACAGAACCACACCATTACTCTAATTTTTATTAGGAACCTATTTTGGACCATTATTTTGATTTAATTTTGAATAGTGAATTCACTACTTTTTGTCACTAGTCTTGTGGCAGATGAATTTTAGATGATTATTAATAAAAGTTTAATTTTAAAGGGCACTCATTCTCTCTTACTTTTTCACTATGTCTTTAGTTTATAGGGTTAGCCCCTCCAAGAGTTGCCACTAGCTTCTTCTTCTCGTTTTGTTTCCTAATTAGTGAGGTAATACCGCTTGATCCAAGGAGACAGCTGACTGCTATTTTGGGGTCAAGAAGGAATTTTTTCCTAGTTTGTTGCAAAATTGGAAGCGCTTCAGACTGGGTTTTTTGCCTTTAGGATCAACAGCAAAACATATGTGAGGAAGGCTGAACTTGATGGACGCAAGCCTCTCTTCATCTATGTAACTATGTAACCCGCAGGCCTTGGCGAACCACTTTGGGCTTCCAGTTAAGTGAAAACTCGGGCAAGGTATCAGAGTGTTCCCTAGGGCACCCCTAACTTGGGTAATGCCCTTAGGTGTTGGTTCTTGCTTAGTATCTGTGCATTTCCAGAGGAATTAGCCAATTTTTCGGGAGCCCCTGCGACATAATAATCAATGTTATTAACGTCACCTGTCAGTGGTTTCAGTGTTGTGGCTGATCAGTGTATAATGAGCGTGAGAAACAGAGTGTAAGCATCACAAAGCACAAGTTAGATAGGGAAACAGAGCACAACCATACCATCAATCTAACCTGAGAACTGAGCAATATTAACCATAGGGTGATATTAGTGGGTCGCCTAGGGGTCCAGGGGTTAGATGGATCACAGGAATCTGAAATTATTTGACCCCTTTCACATCCCTATATAAAAAATAAAGATGGATGCAGCTACCCAAGTTTTGCTCATACCTCTGAGAAACAAATAAGACTATAATTAAAATGAGGGAAGTAATGTAACAAGACAGATTGCCTAAAGTACTAAGAACCCTTGGGCTAAGAGTGAGCAATAAAAACACAGTGACTTCAGTCTAGTGAGTCATCAATAGTTACTCCGGAAAAAAACAAAACAATTTACATACACTATACACAAGATTTAATAACCATAACAAATATAGTTTATTAAATGTAATTAAATCAATAAGTAAAACTGGATTAAACCTAGACAGAGAAGACTGAAAAGTAGGACATCATAAGGAAATGTCATTGGCATAATCACCCCTTTAGATAAGTATTAGAAGGAGATATATTTGTGGAATAGAGTAATTGTTAAGTTAAGCAAAGTGATTTAGACATTGGAGAAACAAACGAAAATCTGGGGGCCCAGCATTTCATAATTATTATGCCCCCTTAGAAAACATTGGTTAAGCAATCTGTATGCATATAATACATCGTAACTGTGGAGGCTATTTGTAGAATGAAATATAGAATTGTTTAAGCTACCTGACAGACCTGACCTCATCTCGAAATATATATAAACATGTGATTACTCACAAAAAAATCAATTATTCTGTAAAGAACTTAACACTGATATATTTGCATTTGTAATTATTTTACAAGCTATGTGAAGAAGATTACCCACTCTTTTGAAATATGGTTGTTTTTTTCTCTTATTTTTTAAAAAATTCTTTATTTGTTGAAAGGCAACATCTGATATATCCATGACACAGGAGAAATAACCAGCGACACCCTGTGCCTATTGCTCCGAATTGTTTCCAGTGTTGTCAAAGGAGTAGAGAACAAGTCATAATATTTGGGATATACAGTATAACCATAAAACGGGGAAAATGGAACTAAAATGCAGAATAACAAAAATATAAAAAAATCAAATACCCTCTGTGATATGGACTTTAGGGCAGTCTAGGTCTCCCTCTCCAGCCTTAAAGCCTCCCAGGGAGCCCATATCTTACTAAATCTGCTTAAAGAATTATTGACCATAGCCATGTCCATTTGAGGGTTGTCCTCTATTTTGTGTAATGCTTCCTGTAAAGCCAAGAGCCAATCCTTTAACCAGCCAGCAGGTAGAGCTATCCTCACTACCAGCTTTAAAATTTTTGGAGTCAGGGGGTACTTCCTCGATGGGCCTATATAGAAGGAAAGCTCAGGGAACGAGATTGAAATGCCAAACAAAATCCATTGGTAGTAATGATTTGATCTCATTCCAAAAAGAATGCGCTTTGGGGCACTCCCACCACAAATGATCCCTTCATACCACATATCCACCAAGATAAATCTTAAGTGGTATTTTCATTCTATATATCTTTGCTGGCATACTAACCTTATGTGGTGTACCATCTCATCATAATTTTAAACATCTATTCCGGTAGGCCTACACAGATGGACACTTTACGGGCATTTTCCCACTCTCTCCCCTCCTGCTCCTCTCCCAAGTCTTTTCCCGTTGTTGCACATAGCAAAGTTCACATTAAGCCTTTGAATTTATACAGATGGTATGGCAGAGTAAAGACACAAGGTCCTTTACTGCCTGATCTCTGCTCACATAGGTTCTCAAAAAAAGTGGTGTTTCTATCTGCCCCTTACTGTACCATGAGTTATCTTCCCAAATCCTGGATTTGCAACTCCTTTGCCATCATTCACACAGGGAATTCTCTAATATGCACTATGGGGGTAATTGGGGAAGTAGAATGTTCAAACTCAGAATAGCAGAACATGTCCTAAGAAGGACCATATGATATTTAGCTAACCGTATGTAAAAATTGCCAGTGATCTGAGCATATTAAGGTGTTTTCTCTTCTTTTTTTAAACAGTAAAAAAGTTGAAAACGACATCATTGTCACTTATAAATAATAATTTATAAATAATAATGATCTTTTACCCCTTTCATTATTATTTATATATAGCGGCATCATATTCCACAGGGCTTTACAAAGATTTTTCAAAATTTTAAGCATTCATGAAATCTTACATTGTGTACTGTAAGCTGCAAAACTCAGAGAACAAGGTAGAGAAATAACAGTGTTCAAGGCTGTGAATTGAGGCAGACAATGTCAGCAGTATGACTAAGAAAGAACAGAATGAAGTTCTAAAACACCAGGTACAGAAAACAAATGCAACTGAAGAGACCTGGAATGAAGGGAATGTCTGCAGTGGAAGATTGCTATTCTGTAGCAGAAAGAAGGTATGTAAAGAGATGGAGAACAGACACACATAATACTCACAGCTGCTGTTATTGCTCCTCCAGAACCAGAACTCCGAAATATAGCCACTATGGAGACTACCAACAAAATAGCAGCAGCAGAAACACAGCGCAAAAAATCCTGAAAGACGAATAAGAGAGTGATTGAGTGGTTACTTAATTCACCCCTAATGTACCCAGTTATGGTAAGCAATCAACCAACGAGAATTCACTCCTCATCATCCTCTCATGTTCCAAGCATTCCATCCATTTGTGAGCCAAGCATTCACTACATAAAAGCAAAGATCACTCCCAATTCCTGAAGACCACCTAACTTCATATACTGTGCAAATGATCAAATAATTTCACACCAATTCATCATAACTATTTACATGAATAATAAACTATATTATTCTTGATTCACTGGAATCCTAGTAAACTAAAGTAAGTTTTATCCATGTCTTTCAAAACTTTGTGTAGTAACATGTTAAAAGTGCTGAACGAATTGTCAGACCTGTATCACTTCTGCTGATGGGAAGAACATGAACAATGCAGTCATCAAGTATATGGCATTTATATAATAAATCAAGGCAGTTACTTTAGGATCTCTTTCATTTCCCTTCTGCAACATGTAAATTATAGGCAGCAATTTTTATGGATTGCTCAACTGCAAAAAAAAAAATCAAAACCAAGGGAATTTATATATAGAAAATACATGTTTTAGACCATTTTATAAGATATTTACAAATGGAAACAGATTAGAGACCACTTCGATACGTTTCCTGCTTTGTGTCTTGGTGCCAAAACTGGGAAAGGTTACACAAAGAAGAGAATCAACTGAATGGTCACCTGCTTCACTCAAAGCAGAAAACATGTTTTCATACATTCATATATTCAGCATTTACTAATGACCTAGCCAGGTTTAGTAGTGGGTATCTGAATCTGCAATAGAGAATCATATTGAGTGGACCATTGCTGTCAATATGACAGTAACCATTTGCTAGAGGAGCAATAATTGACCACTTTCACTGATAAACAGATAGGGCAGAATGTAAATGCAAGTCAAATACTCACTCATCGTCGGGTATGTTATATATCATCAGAAGCAGCACCCCTATCTCCATTTGCAGATAAATTATTAGATAGACACCTACTACATTTACTGAGCAGGTACTTAATGAAGTAGGCACCATACACTTCCTCACTAAGTACTTGTTCACAGTACAGGGAATCGACTAATCTCACACTATACACACATTCAATTCACATGCTCAGTCATCACCTATTAAAGGTCAGAGGTCACACACCATGCAGGGCCAGTTGAGGGCTGTCAGACGCTTGTTGTATTGACTGGAAATTAAGATGATGAAGATGAGGGTAATGATGAACTCGAAGAGTGGGGCGGCCAAATAGGCAGACAAGGTGGCAGCAAAGCAGACAAATACCACAAAGCACAGAACCTAAGGAGAGAGATATACGTTGTAAGGAAGATAAGCAAAATGCACGGAGTATGTTATTTCAATGGACAGCTGTCATTAGATCCCATTAGATATTTGTCAAATTGTGAAATCCAATAAATGAAATAGATGTGCCCAAATAACAAATACTTAAAGAAAAAATATATTTACACTGAAAAAAATACAAACATATTTATATATATTAGAGAAAAGGAATTATACATGCACTGATCAGCCACAAAAGTAAAACCACCTGCCTAATATGGTGTAGCTCCCCTATGTGCTACCAACATAGTTCTGATGCGTTGAGGCATGGACACCACAAGATCTCTGAACGTGTCCTGTGGTATCTGGAACCAAAATATTAGCAGCAGATCCTCCAAGTCCTGCAAGTTGTCAAGTGGGGCCTCCTTGCATTAGATTTCTTAGTCCAGCACATCCCACAGATGCTTAATCGGATTTGGAGGCCAAGGTAGCATCTTGCACTCTTTGCCATGTTCCTCAAACCATTCCTGGACACTTTTTTCAATGTGGCAGGGTGCATTATCCAACACCATCAGGTAACACCATTACCATGAAGGGGTGTATGTGGTCTCCAACAATCTATTCGTAGATAGTAGGTGGTATGTGTCAGTAATATGCACATGACTGCCAGGACCCAAAGCTTCCCAGCAAATCATTGCTCAGAGCATAACACTGCCTCTGCTGACCTGCCTTCTTCCTAAAGTGCATCCTACTCCCATCTTTTCCCCATGTAAATGAAGCACACACCAGGCCATCCATCTGATCTAAAGAACACAAGATTCAACAGATCAGACAACCTTCTTCCATTGCTCTATGGTCCAATTTTGATGCTCACGTCCTGATTGAAGGCGCTTTCGGTGGTGGACATGGGTCATCATAGGCACTCTAACCGGTTTGTGGCTACACAGCCCCTTATGTAGCAAACTGAAATACACTGTGTGTTCTAATAACTTTCTATCATGGCAAGCAATATGCTTGTCAGCAGTTTGAGCTACAGTGGTTCTATTGTGTGATCGGGCCAGATAGGCTAGCCTTCGCTGCCCATGTGCATTAATGAGCCTTGGGTGCCCATAACCCTGATCAGTTCACTGGTTGTCCTTCCTTGCACCACTTTTTGTCGGTACTAACCACTGCATACCGGGAACACCCCACCAGATTTGCCCTGATAGAGATGCTATCACCCAGTCGTCTAGCCATCACTATTTGGCTCTTGTCAAAGTCACTCAAATCTTTTGGCTTCCCCATTTTTACTACTTCCAACACATGAAATGCAAGAACTGATGTTCACTTGCTGCCTAATATATCCCAACCCATGACAGGTGCAATTGTAACGATATAATCAATGTTATTCACTTTACCTGTCAGTGGTTTTAATGTTGTGGCTGATCAATGTATATATATAATTAAAAAAATTATATATATATATATATATATATATACATTAAACATGCACTATGGAAAAATAATGCTATATCAGGGCTCTGAGACCTAGGGTCTTGAGGCTTCTTGTGATGCCTCCAGAACCACTTGATGGCATTATTTTTTCAAAATACAAGGTTTACTTTTATGTATCCACTATATCCTCTAGAAATCAATAAGGTTTTCTAAATCTATTACAACTCCATGGAAATAGAAAACACAATACAAGGCCTGTCTGCATCTGCATATGAACCAAATAAAACCTGGGGGGACAGGCCATAATTATCTCAGCCCAATGTAGGGATAATACAGTTTTCTGCAGAAAAAAAATGATATATTAGTAGAATGAGATAATCAACTCTTTTAATATGTTTTGATTATCCTAACTTTCTTAAACAGTGAAACATAAGATCTGAAGAGTGACACTAGATGCCCCTGTGTGTTTGAGATGATGCCACTAGCTTAAATAATGGTTCCTCAGTCTTTGCCTATGTACCTCTGTGATGTTTCTTGTGATGCTTTCTCTTCGTTATTTTGTATGTAGAAAACAGTTCCTACTTTTCCCATATAATATTGACTGGGGTATAATCTTAGTATACTTAGTATAATCAGCTAATAGAGGTCTCTGATGAAAAAAAAAGGTTGAGAATGCTGTTCTGATATTTCTCCTGCAGAGGACTGGTAAGTTCTGGGAGTGATAAGCTTAGTGTGACCTGAGGACAGGATGAGAGGGGGGCCCTTTGTTATTATTAACAAGGGACAAATGATTCCAAGCAGACCCCTGGAGGGAAATAATAAAGTTTGTGATGCTCAGGGCACTCCATGTACAGTAGTTGCAATGTATTGCTGCAGTGCTTACAGTTGGGTAATGGGTGTCTCATAAAGGGACAGGTAAGTGAGAGATGTCATAATGTTACCTACCAGCTCCATGAGAAGAATTCGTCCTTTCAATGACTTGAGGAACTCATTGTCCAAAATATTGCCACCACAGCTGGTGGGTTCTTCTTGTTCACTCATGCCCTGGCAGGGACTACAAGACGGGGGAGGGAATGGATGGAGAGACTGGTGGGTAACACAAAGCTAGAAATACAAATCCTACATTAAAACAGGCTGTGAGTTACTATGCAATACTTTGTGGAAACTTTCTGATGGAGAGCGAGAGATAGTGGATGAAGCAGAGAGATGTGCAGAGTGTAAAGCAGCATGTGACGAATTTCATGTATTTTGAGTATTGTTACTGTATGAGAATATTATTTGGGAGGAGATAAAATAAAATAATTTACCCGTCTCTGTGTTGATGAAGAGGATGAGCTGAATCTGAAGTTGCAGCTGATCGAGATTGCGTTACAGGAAGAGGGGAGAAGAGGGGGAGGGATGGAGAAAGAGAGAAGGGGGGGGGGGAGAATGGGAAAAGAGACATGAAGAAATAGCAATGGATATGATATACACATATATACTTATATGGATATGACAGACAGACAGACAAATACATCATTAGTACATGTTTTTGTATGTATGTCCGCACAAATGCTTTGATTTCTTTGTATACTTTTATCTTTATAATGTATTCTGTATGGATGGCTGTGTTTGTCTTTCTGTCTTTTAATTTATTATTATTTACTACCTTGCAGAGTTTTTTTTTAACAAATCGACCCAACTTGACAATACCCTTTCAATCATTTATAGAATTAGAGTTTACAATGATATTAGATGCCCAAATTACAACAATGTTTGACTTGGGATATAGAAAATTGTTTACTTCTAGATGGATTGATACATGCAATTTGGTAAGAGTTTGTTTATTAGATTAATTTACATGTAAAAAAAAAAAAATCAATAAATATAATAATAATATCAATGCTCTCTATACATGCCACTAACTAGACTACTATAAGATGCACACCAGGCAGAATTCTCTGCTACACTGAACATCATCTCCTGCTGTTAATTGAACCCTTAACAAAGAGTGGGGGGATTCATTATAGAGCTAGTGAATTGCAGTGAATTAACATATAGGTAAGAGTCAAAATGAAATAGAAGCTACATTGGGTGTTTTGTACCCCTGTGAAGAACATGGAGGGATATTCAATGAACACTCATTGAAGTGAAGAGAATTATCAACCTATAGGCTAAATAATCAAGCTATACAAAATAATCTATGTTGGCCTAAAGGATTGACAGCTAACCCATAATTTATAGTGTAGTAAATAAAATAATTCCGGGCATTTTCACTATGAAACAAACAAACAAACACACTTTCTGCATATAGACACCTATTTATAAAAATATATATTTATGTGTACTATAAAGTCATAAGGAGCCAGATATAGGCCCAAGGAATTACAATATAAAAACATGGCCCTGCTCTTTCATCTTCATCATTACTCAGAGGCAGAATATATAACACTATGGTTTTGGTTTTTGTTCACAATTTAGGCAATCATAATTAAGTTAGATTTTAGCACTATTGGTCAGAAAAGGATTGAGAACACAGGGCCCTATGCAGATTACCATTTGCTCTCCCACCTCCGCCCCCATCATTGTTTAATAGGGATGGTACCATGGGGATCAAGCAAATTCATGGTTCCAGGCCCCATGTTTAACAACTGGGCCGTCACTGCCTAGGGTCACTTTATGGTTAATCCTGGGCAGCTTAAATATTACAATATAAGTATGTCATGAGGCCAATTTCCCAAATTACATTGATTCAATGCATCTCTATGAGGTGATGCTGATTGGCACAGTACAGTGCTTTGCTGCACATGCGCAATAGCCTTCCAATATTTTCCTATGGGAAAGCACTGGATTGGCTGAAATTTAAACACCTTTTTACTGTGATTGGAGAGGCCAGTCACCTAAATAGTTAGTTTTACACTGTAGTGTTAATTTAAAACCCTATTATTCATTAAAATTATAGGTAGTCTTAGGCAGTGCTTTTGGAATAATCGTAATTTAAAATTGTAAATCTTGTAACAGTAATTAAATCTATTTTATTGAAGCATGCCCTCAGCAAGCCTCAGATACACCACCATAGTTAGTTGGAATGTTTTCAAAACAGTGCTGTCATAATGGCGCATGTAGCAAGCTGAGAGCAGGATTATTACAGCGCCACTCATGATGGTGCTATTTTTTACGTTTCTTCTTGGGCAAAACTGCTCTCATGGGGCCGAGCCTATTTGAAAATGATAGGATTTACAGTCATTCTATTGTAGAGGAGAGAAAGGGTAATATCTCTGTAGCTGTCTTTAATGAATTATAGATTACAGTGCGGAGTACATAGCTCTACTAAATGCCCCACCTTTTAAGTTTTGCTATAATGTCGTGCAGCATTTAAAAAAAAAAAAAAAAAGTTATTTAATAGAGTTGTTAAACTGTGGAAGGACTCTAAACTTTTTGTAGAACACTGTATGTAAAAATAAAAAGACTTTTTTTAAAATGTGTGGTATTTTAATAGCGTTAGTAAATTGTGGAATGGAGGACTATATTTTTCATAGGACACTGTATGTAAAAATGATATTACTTTTTTTGTAATTTTTTAAAAAATATATTTTTGGTAATATTACAAAAAATCTTTTTTTTTTTTTTTTTTTTTAAACCATTCATTTACAGTACACTCCTATTCAATCTGTGTACCCAAGGACATGTATTTGACAGTTTCTGAGTATGTAATGGGGGATGGATCAGAGAGGACAGAGGCCCCCCTGTGTGTGTGTGTGTGCAGAGAGAGGGGGTGGCTGGTGCTGACTGTCCCTACAAACAAAAGTCCTTCTGTTCCCACGCAAATAAAATTCATAATAACATATTCATAAAAGACAGCAGCATGGAAGGAGTTAAGGAGTGGTGCTAGTCTCTCTGTATAGTGTAATGACAGCTCTGCGTGTCTCACTAACACACAGTACATTAACCCCTTATTCACTGTGCTCACATCAAATGGGAATAGGGCTAGTCACAGCGTCTCAAGGACCTTCTGACAATGAAAGGGTTAATGCCCAACATGACAGGTTACCATGGCGGGATGTATTTATTTAATCATGTATGTATTTTTTAAATGCAAAGGTAACACCACGTGGGTGCTAATAAGGGCTGGGCAAAGTGTTATTTACACCCCCTGTGAAAAAGCAACAATATATGAAAGGAACCACTAGCCCTGTAAATGAGGCAGCATGGGGTTAATAATTACTGTACAGTGGGTAAAAGGGCTGATTGTTATGGGAGCAGCAGTAATCACATTGTGCAGATCTGGGCAGCAGATAATGAGTTAATCACTGTTTGCAGTGCTCCCCCCCCAGCTTTCCCCCCAGACAGTCTCCACCCAGCATGGCTTTCCTACAATTGGACGGGTGGGACACCCAGCTCCTATTTCTCTCCTCTACCTTCTCTCCTTCTCCACCAGCTCCTCCCTCCACCATTCCCTTCCTCCTCTCTCCCCCACCTTTGTGTTCTCTCCTTCCCCTTTCTCTCCTCCCCTTCTCTCTATCTGTAGTCTGGAGGACAGGACGGGATCCGAGGTGACACAGGACTTCTGAACTCTCTCATTGGGGTGAGATACCCACTCTCCTTAGTGTCCACTGGCACTTTCTCTCTATCCTCCACCCCTCTTTAGGGGCCCTTTATCACTCTTCCCCAGTAGACTTAGACAGATTTTTGCCCAAGGGTTTCTAAAAAGGTAGATCCCCAGCTGATGTACAACTTCAACTCCCAAGATCCTTTTTCAACGGTAGGCTGGCAAAGCAGCACGAAAATTATATTATTATAGTTCTAGAATGGCTGCGCTTATATATATATACACACATCTTTTATTCACACTATTAGCCATGACCTGTTCTACCAGTCATCCCCATGTTGCTTTCCTTCCCTTACTGCATTTAATCTCTCATTCTGTAAAATGTATGAATTGTTTGCAGATACATTTGTTATTTTTTTTTTTCCATGACAGTGTTTTCTAAATGTCTAAGGAAGTAATTTCATGGTCACCTGTCCCTGTGTTTTTCTTCTGTGTGTTTGTTTTGCCACTCTGTCATTGTTACATTAGTGTTACTTTTCACAATGTGCTGTTTATGATTTCTGTATTTTGCTATAGCCTCCTAGGTGCCAGGGTGTGCAGATTCACATTGGCTCCTATCTATCTCACTGTTCCTCCCTCCTCCATGGCATGTGAGTGACGGCAAAGAGGACGCAATGCCAGTAAGTGACTACTGTTTGTTTGCATGTTTATACCGTGCCATTTAGTGTAAATGCATACCACACAATTCATAACAATTGATCCCCTATTCACTCTGTGTCCTTCCTCACTGCCTTATCTCTTGACATTGAGCTGTTAAATTGTGTAGTTGGTAATTAAAGTGCTCAAACTGGGCAAGGTGAGTGTTAAGTCTAGAATTTAAAACGTAGGCCATACTATTTATATTATATAGAAAAATTGAATAAGTTGAATAATGTTTACCACTTGTTTTTATGGCCTAATTTTAGAAATTCGTTTCACATTTTAGTTGATAAAATCCAATGTGTCTGTATATTTTTCTCAAACTGCATCACCCAGTTTACATGAATGAATCTGACATGATACTTTGATTTGATGATTTGGCTCAACTGAAAAAAAAAAATAGATTAGCCATGACATATGAATAATAATATTTCCAATACACCAGCAAGCACTTACAGCACCTGTTAATTATTTCAACAAACTCATGTTATGATTGCTAATAGCAGCATCATGGTTAATATTGCATATTATCTGCCACCATTTTATAATGCTTTATCACATAACAATGGAAGACAGTCAGATGGAGCCTCCTTAGATAGGTTTATTTCTCTGCTAGTGCTGGCCATTCAGCTGGCTGAGTAAGATGGGGAATGTAGTTCATAACAGCTGCAGCGCCAAAGGTTAGGAATGACTGTTATGGGATCTGTGCTATGTGGCATGCGTTTTCAATTCAGCACAATTCATAGTTTAGAGAATGTGTATAGAGTTTCTGTCAGCATGTAAATGAGGCTCATCATAACTGCAGTGTATATTAATAGATGAAAGGCCCCAGATCTCACTTTACACATTTCAAGTCACGCACCAGTTTTAGTTTTTGTGCATGTGGCATCCATTTTAATGCATGCCAGGAATTCCTGCAGAACTGCACCTGCCTCCTGGTACTTATTGTCTCTAGGGGCATTTCAAATATTGTATGATATGGTATTCTAAATCCTCTCATTGAGGTGGATAGTCTTAGGCGCTCACCATGCATCCCTCTGTGACACACCACAATATACCATTAGCAGGCGACAAAAGTGTACAATTAGCAGATTTAGGGTATTCCCCAGACTACACACTTTTTCAGCCAGCAGCAGAGTGGTTGTTGCCTGTTCAGTTCTGTCTGCACATGTCCCTTATTTCCTGTTCTACTATAGCAGACTCTCAAGATGGAAATTATATTTTCTTGGCCTTATTTCTGCGTGGATGGCAGAGTAAAATACAATTGTGTGTGGTGCGTAAATCAAAGAAGTGTTGACTTAAAAATATTGGCTTTGTCTACAAACGTGTGGAGTACCAATATAGCATCTTTCATTATGGTGTATTTTTACAGTGCAGTATAACCTATATTTATTGCCACTTCCTTTGAGCAGAGGAGTGCATTTCTTGTACCTACTGCACCTGAATGGAAACTGGAATGTTGATGGCTTAGTCCCATGACTCACAGTCAGAAGATAAGTGGCTGAGAATGATGGAAATACAGTCCAAGTGATCTTGAGTGTATTTTGTATATAGGCCTCCAGTTTGCACACCACACACCTTTTCTTATGTGATGATTTCTGAGCATAATGGGACTTGTAGGCAGATATTTTCTCTGCAGACAGTTGAACAGATTTGTACTGTGCACACTGACAAACTGCTCCCTGTGTCTTTATTCTGTTTCAGGGATGATGTCACCACCACATGTTCTGTTCTCTTAAGGGGACAAGTATTTTCTGCATAATGGGAGAGAGACAGGGCAGGGTGAGGAGAATGCTTTTTATAAGCTTCCCTAAAGACATAGTTTCACCTCAGAGACAAAGAAATGGAGATGTAGTAAAAGGCCTGCTTGTGTATAGCCATATATAATAGGGAATGTCAAGAGAACATCACAGCTTTGTTTGCCTCGGCATCTTTTTCCAGCCACAGATATCTAAGGATTTTGATGATGTTGCGCATTTTTTTGGTTGACAGGGATTTCTGTTGGATTAAAATGACTAGTCTAAGACATCTCCCTCTGATAACTCAGGATTCATTGGCCTAGCTGTCTGTTTTGTGATGTTTTTAGTTTTAGTACCTGTCTGGGATTTGTGATATCTCTCCATTGATGTGAGCTTTTCTGGCTTGTAGTGTATATCACAATTTGAGTGTATCCCAATATGTGGTGTTTGTTTGGTTATTAGGTTTGTAGTGTTTGTTCCTGGATTGGACTCTTTGCTCTTTCAAATTTAGGTGATAAATGTCACTGAACAGAAATCTATTTTGATTGTTAATTGTCTCTATTTGTTTTAGAAAATGGTTTGTTGGTACCATCCTGTTTATAAAGGCCCCTCTCTGAGAGTTGTCACTAAACCTTTATATGTAAATGTCCCAGGGTGAATGCACTTCCCTCCTGCTGTGTTAGGTTCTTTGCGTGGAGGTGCCAGACTGTATGAAATACTCTGAATGCAGTTGTTTATCCCTATAGCATTGCAAAGCTGGGAGTATAATGTTCCATGATGTTACTGTTTATAAAGGTCCCTGCCTGGTTAAAATACTTTTATTTATTTATTTTTCTAATGTAAAGGTCAATCCCAATTGCTTTTAACTACTGGGTTTTGTCTGACACAAAATTTGCTCCACTTGCTCTTTCAGTGAATCTCCATTGTTTTAAACAGGCTATTCATGAGGCAGGCTACTGCCCACAGACAATTGGTTACTGTAGCAGTGCCTTATTCCGTGCAAAGGGAGACCCTCTCTGACACTGGAAGAGAACTGAAGGTGTGAAGTTGATTATTTCCTTATTGTAAATTATAATTTTAAGGGGTCACTTAACCCATGTGGCAATTAAGGAATGTGCCAGTAAGATAAATCATGTGCATCATTTGGTGTATTGAAAAATATGTGTATGAATCTCTGAACAAAGATTATTTTGCTGGAGTTTAATGTAACATATATGTTTTGCTTAGAATTGAATCCAAGGAATGCAGAAAACCAAGTATTATTATTTTTTAAAAGAATCCTTTAATTCGCAAACAAAAAAAACAAGTTTGCCATTGTTTATTACTTGCATGGAATCCAGCCCACTTTGTGACATTGTACTAAAATATGTGAAAGCTTTCAGGAAGTTTATCTGATATTCCTGCCTGACTGTTTACAATTCACAGTGCACATCAAAGGTGAGAGACTGAAGGCAGGACTTACTTGTCAATAGTAGCTGGTATGCTATGCTTGTGCAAAATCACTGTCCACAGAGAAACCGTAAACATGTAGGGATTATATGATTATGTGTGGGGACTATTGACTAAACAGTGAGATGTGTTGGGGGACTTCATCTGGGAACATTGAATTGGAGTTCCACTCAGTATGGGGCTAACAGACAGGTCTGTTTCTTCCTTTGTTCATGTGCCACGTGGATATGCTAGAATTTACTCAAAATAAGCCCAGACTTGAGAGAAGATATGATTGTAGGTTCGGGGCACTGTTGAACTGCGTGGCCGGATTTGATTCATCCTCTATAATTAGTAGGATTCGACCAACTGCTGTGTTGGTCTGTGTTCATCTCAGGGTATTTTGTGATGGTAGTTTGAACATAATGCATGCGCAGGTTTCAGCTCCTGTCAAAGCAGGTCACTCTTACTTTAGGGCTCTAAGAGAGTTGTTTTCAATGAGTGTTGCACAGATCCATGGTACAGTTCTTCCATTCTTGCTTATGGAAATCCAGAACAGACATCTTCCAGTGGGTAATACACTGTTTTTGTATTCCTGTCTGTGAGTTGATTATTCTGAAAGACATTTGCCTGTGCCACCAGACTAAACATGTTACTTTGTGAGTGTGAATGTAAATTAAGGGATGTGGTTATCCCTGTCCTTAATTTACCTCATCAACCTCCACTATATCTAAGCGGGAGACGAGCATCATACACCCTGACTCTTCTTGGCTTCCTGACGAGCGACCCGGCGCCTCAAAAACTATTGCGGCCTACCTGTGGGAGCGAGTGTGGGAGACACGGCCGATCTCCCGACTGGCTTATCTGCTGGAACATGTGCACGTCAGCAGGACTCCCGATTCTCCCCTCCCCCCCCCCACTGCTGGTGGGGGTTATCCAGGCCCCAGTATCCAGGCTCTACTCACTGGTGGACTTGTGACTTAGCTCACAATCCTGCGGTGTAAATCTTATCCCCTTACTGGAGCCAAGATGGCGGACGACACCTAACACACCACAAGGCCTAGTGGATACTACTTTGGTGCGACTAGATGCCATCTTCATGGTCTTTTGGCACACGCTTGAGGAGAGGCGAAGAGAAGTAAGCCTGCCACAACACTTACCTCCCAAAGCCAAGCGCAACGTGTTGGTCACTACACATCGAACGAAACAGGGAAAAGGGTCTGGACCTCCTTCCACACTTCTGAGTCCCTCATGGTTCAAGACCCGCTCCTGCAATCCCAGGCTGAAACCCTCAAGGGAGATAATCCCATTGCCTCTCCCACACCCTCAGATTATGATTCAACGCTGCTATCCTGTAACCACGGCCTTCTGAGATCCTGCTCCCGGGACCAAGAGTAATCAGGGCAGTGGGAACTGCACACAGGCTGTTCAAGTGGCCTGGGGCCAGCGAAGGGGCCGAGCACGGACCTCTGGGACTCAGTCCAGATATGGGACATTTGTGGCAAGTGTTGGGGTTGGGTAAACCCAAAAACAAAGCATGAATGCACGTGGTACACGAAGCTGCTTCGCCCCCATTATGTCCCATGCCGTGTGCCCTACCTGTAATGTCCACCCACCAGTGATAAACCATAGCGGGGCAGTAACTATTGCTCTCTGTTCATCAGTGGTTAAAACTATGCTCAAACCATATGTTAATATAGCCTGATCCTTATAAGCTATCACCATGTCTAGCTATATGATATTAGTTAACAGTCCTTATTAATTGTATTAGTTTTGTTTCATATGCTTACTATGTCCTGATTGGAAGGCTTTCTCAGATCTAAGCTTTGTTCTTATACCTACATAGGCACTACCCCTGTTTACTGATCTGGATACATAGATAGAAACTAATGTCCAATGGAGCTGCAGTGGAACTACTACCCTCTAGTCACCTATGCCTGTCTGTTCTCTATTGCACAGTAAAAATAAAGAATATAAAAAAAATGTGTGATGTCTCTGGTCCATGAATGTTTCAAGGCTGTGTAAAACATTCTGTTTACGTTTTCTGTCTATAAACTGCACCTGCTGCTTATAAAGTGCTGCCCTGCAGTATGCAGAATCCACATGTTCCAAAAAGGAAATCAGTCAATTATTTGGACATCTCTTAGGGACCACCATGATTGATTGATTTCCTTCTGTCAGCATATTGATTATAGAAGATGCTATACAGACAGCACATTTACCCAGTTACAGCTTGTAGAAAAATACCATTTTGGCAACTATATAATTATCTAATTTAGAATTCTCTAAAACATTCTGGTTACATATGTTCTGAGACTCCTAAAAAATATAATATGTTCCTGAATAGCACCTACATTATTTAAACATAAATAGTCACATGAACACTAACCAAAAAGTGTTGTTTTCGATGTTCTGTAATGGAGCTTCGTCCATTTTTCAGGATACTCACCTCCTCTACAACCGTTCCTGCGCTGACACTGGCCCACCTTTGTGAGCGTGAATTGCCTCTCTTTGGGAAAGCCCTGGATTACTTTACCAACGCCGGCTTTCAAAGCTAATTTCGGCCAGTGCAGAGAGGGTATGCAGGCAATACTGCAGACAGACATTGGCATAGAGTCTATACCGTTAGTCTGTCTGCCAGGGAAGGGGAGCGTATATTTTTATGAAAGATTGCACAAAATGTGCTAGTAATTTCGCTAGCACAATGTTTAGATGAAATTGTCTGCATAATAAGAATATCCAATCAAAAAGATGAAGTACAGATATCCTTTAAATATATAGGTCAACAACTCCTTATATTGGCTACGGGTGTTTGTTCAATGTTTGTGTTTTTAGGGATGCCAGTTCCTGTTGGATTTCCTTATTAAATGGAAAGTTACACTTAAATGTATTAAAAAAATTGTATGCTACAGAAAAGCTTGAGTCACGCTGAGTTTTTTTTTAAACACCTAACTGTAGTGAATTAAAATGCAAATTGTCGTATTCAGGCAAAAAAAAAAAGTTAATTTTGAAAAAAAATCGACAACTCAGCTGTAGTCAGAGCTTGTCTCTTTTTATCCTAAAGTTTGAGATTTGACCTAATTCACTACAATTGTGTTTTACAGTCTAGTAGATAAAGGTTACTTTGGTCAGTAAATTTGCACCTAGTATCAATATAAAGGAAGTAAATTAAGGCTTAAAGTCAGACCCCAGGGGTCCAGTGTCACAATGTAATCATTAAATGCTTTGAACTGCATGTTTGTGGGTCTGTCTTTCTCTATGTTTTGTGTGTCTCTCACTTTTTATCAATGTTTGCTTTTTAGTTTAAGTCACATAGTTTAACTCTTTGATATGGACTAGAACTCACGAACTACAAACAGAGTGTATTTGTTGGAACTGCTCCTCTGTTTTCAGACCTGGGTGCCAGAATTTCCACAAAACGTGCACACAAAATCCTGCAGGTGCACTCTTGTAACACAAATGATTTATTAAGGCACTCATCACAGAACAGCAGATTCTGGTTCTTTTCTTATGCAAAACAAAGTTTCTCCTAATGAGAGAAACAAAGGTTGCCAAAGTCTGTGGTTCTTTATGTAGCCCCAGCCTATTTACGGGCCACGTGTTATTAAAATCTCTGACTCAAGTGACAACATAATGTACAGAAATATTATTATTATTATTGCCATCTATATAGCGCCAACAGATTCCGTAGCGCTTTACAATATTATGAGAGGGGGGATTTAACTATAAATAGGACAATTACAAGAAAACTTACAGGAACGAAAGGTTGAAGAGGACCCTACTTCAAACAAGTTAACAGTCTATAGGAGGTGAGGTATAAAACACAATAGGACAGGAAATAGCAATCACATAAGGGGTGAGTGAACCTTGCTGGAGGAGAGAGTAGAGTGCTGTCCTTTAGGAGAGAGCAAAGGACAGGTATGTGAGGTAGAGATTACTGTGGGAGGCCATAAGCTTTCCTAAAGAGATGGGTTTTAAGGCTCTTCTTAAACGATTGAAGACTAGGGGAGAGTCTGATGGCATTAGGCAGGCTATTCCATAGGAGAGGAGCCACCCGCGAGAGGTCCTGCAAGCGTGAGTTGGCCGTACGGGTGCGAGTTGCGGACAGGAGAAGATCATGGGCAGAGCGGAGAGACCGAGAAGGAGCATACCTATGGATCTGTGAGGAGATATGAGGGGCTAGTATTGTTCAGTGCTTTATAGGTATGGGTTAGCACTTTGAATTGACTCCTATAGGATACAGGAAGCCAATGTAAGGACTGACAGAGGGGTGAGGTGTGAGAGAACTGACTGGAGTTGAAAATCAGTCTGGTCGGCAGCATTCATTACAAACTGTAGCAGGACAATACGTCTTTTGGGAAGACCAATTAGGAGAGGGTTACAATAATCCATGTGGGAAATTACTAGAGCATGGATACACAATTCACTTATAATGTAGGGTTATAAAACATGGTCCTGTGCTCCATTCAAATCCTGATTAATACTCCTACCAAACTGGCTAGTAGTAACTTAAAGAAACACTCCTGTGTGGACAATTTAATTCTCAATTCATTTTATAAATAATGCATTAAAATGTGCACCATGAGGCAAATTCTCAAGTACTACATCCCATTTACTTATAGGGGATAATTACTGGGCATCCGTTAGTATGCTGGTACACAAACAGACTCTCAGTAATTGTTATGTAAATCAATGGAGGAATACAAGTATTTTAATAGTGATGCTTACAGTCTTGTCATGCCTTCAAACAATGTATGAAATAACATTTGTAGGATCAACAACACATCACATCTCTCAGTTCCTTCTTCTACACCCAGTCGGTCAGGAATAATGGAAATCGCTGTGGTTTAGTTTTTATATATCTATAAAATCTGGAACACTGTTAGATTTTCAAGTTTGCCACCGCCACTTCAGCAGTAGACATTGTGAGTCTATCCCCAAGTTACTTTAAAGCCTAAATATTTTGTTTTTGAATTGTATCTGCAGGCACAGCTGGCCCTGGCTCTGTATGATAATGCAGCAGAAGCTCCTGAAGAGCTTAGTTTCCGAAAAGGAGATGTGATATTGGTTCTAGAGCGAGATGCCCCTGCGCTAGGAGGATGGTGGCGATGTTCTTTAAGAGGACAACAGGGAATTGCCCCTGGGAACCGATTACGGCTTCTTCCAGAAACCTCCTCACATGAAAACGAATACCAGGCTCCTCGTCTTCTAGGTGCCAGTGGAGATCTTAACAGTCAGGGTCAGGAGCCACAAATCAGTGTGGATACATCACAAGCTCAGGCAGGCACTGAGGTTAGGTATAGATATAAAGACATATTTTAGTCATACTAAGATAATGGTGAAGATATTCATATTTCCCTTTCTTTTCCTAGGTATATCAGGTTCCTTCCATAGCCCGTCTTTGCCTTTCCCCTACACATAACCAAGCTCAGGATGAAATTTACAACTCACCACGTCTGGTTGGAGTATCTACACAACAATTGACGGAGGTGAGGACACTTGGAAAATGTCAGCAGTCATACAAGACCAAATGCACAGTCTTCACAGACAGTTTAATCATGTTCCAGTCTACAGGTATTCTGTATAATAAAATAAAAGACATTTTAATGACCATCAACCCATATTGCAAATGTTCCTCCTGATCCTCCCACCACTTTTATGCCATCAACAGCTTGTGAATACCTATGTATTCCACTTGTGAGTAAAACTTCATGCACTATAGAATGCACAATCTGCCAGTATTGAATGTGCATATCTTTGTCATGGCCGAAATCTTACATAGTTCCATCTTCTGCTTTCTCCACTGGTAGCTGTCTTATACTTGCACACTGTAAGATTTTTACTTCACTATAACAATCATGTTATGCTTTCCTGTTCTGCTACAGGTATATGACACACCTTCTGCACTGCAACGAGATGTTTTCTCAGCCTCTGAAATATATGACAGTCCAGCATTACGAGTGAAAGATGTGGCTGTGGTGCCCCCTGTGTCTGAAGAAATTCCTGAGGACATCTATGATGTACCTCCTGCATTACACTGCATTACTCATAATGAGGATGATGAAGATGAAGGCGTTTACTCCCTACCTTCCAACCTAAAGCGGGTGTCAGGGCTGCAAAATTTGTACGAGGCTCCTGAAGATATCCTGAGTTCAGGCCATCTCCCAGAAACAGTAGAGCCAGTCAATACCCATAGACTTTCTGTTTCCAGCACAGGCAGCACCCGTTCTGCAGATTCTGGAGAAAGTCGGGAGTCTAGCATACAATCTCTGCACAGCTTGGATACCCGTAATGATGGTAATTGTACAGTGGAGGGTTTGAGATTGCTGCACCAAGAACTGCAACGGACAGTGGCACCTGTGAGTGATAAGGCGGAGGGAGGCTCAATAGACAGGTGCCAAGAACATCTGATATCAGCGCAGGGAATGGAAGCTCTGAAGGATTTTCTTGGCTTGGCACAGGTTGTTCTTCTTCGATCCTGCCAGGCTTCAGACCCTGCTCTTCATCGGGAACTTTCTGAGCACCTAGAGCATTTGGAGCATGCTTTAAGGGAACTTGTGGATGGAGGCATGGAGGTGTCTTTGATTAAACTGGTACAGGAGCATAGCGGATGTATTGTTAAACTGGTTAGTGCTAATGCTGGCCTCCTTTTCCCACGTCCAAGATTATCATCTAGTGAGAGTCTTTCTCGGCGCCCACTTCCAGCTCTACCCACTGCATCCCCTGCCCCTTTTCGTAAGGGCAGCATCCAGGATAGACCTCTGCCACCCCCACCAACTCTTATTTGTCCAACAAGTGATCATGAAGAGAATGCTGACAGTGAATATGAAAGAATACAGTGCAGAGACAATCATTATGTTCATCTACAGGTAAAGAAACAATTATAATTTTGTATTCTTCACCTTTTTACTGCCCATGATACAGCTTTTTATTTTTAACATCTCCTTCAAAAAAATAGTAAATCATTTTATTTTTGTGAATAAAAGCAGAAAGAAATTCAGCGCTTATAAAATACTGATACAGTTCAAAAGGCAGCTTAATCACCAAATCTCTTTTGTCCAGTAGAAAATGGAAAAGGTAGGTGTAGCGCCTAAGGTGTCCTTGAAGGTATATGTAAAAAAAGAAGAAACAGAACTAGTAGCGTATTACATAAAAATTCATAGAAAAAGTTCACTCACACTTTTCAAGAGCTTAGGTTCAGCTCCAACTTGAGCTGAACCTAATATCCTAATATCCTAAAAAATGTGAGTGAACCAATTTTCTCCAATTTTCCGTAATTTTTTTATACAACTCATTTAAAGCGTCCTCTAAAGGTGTCCTTGGAGGTTTATGTAAAAAAAGGTGTCCTTGAAGGTATATGTAAAAAAAAGAAGAAAAAGTACTAATAGTGTATTACATAAAAATTCATAGAAAAAGAATTTTTAAAAAGTTCACTCACACTTTTCAAGAGCTTAGCTTCAGCTCCAACTTGAGCTGAACCTAAGATCCTAAAAAATGTGAGTGAACTAATTTTCTGCTTTTTCCATCTTATTCTACGAAATACACTATTAGTTCTTTTTTTTTGTTTATTTATTTTACCTTCCTCTTTCAGTTTATTTTTGTGTTGCTCATTTCATACTCCAAGATGTTCCTAGTGTTCATCCATGCCCCCATATTGCATCACCTCAGTTTCTTGATCTAGTAAGCATTTATTTTACCCTGTCACCATCCAGTGGTTTTACATAGTATCTGTCTTTGCATTCATTGTCCATTGCCTAGTATTGTTATCTTGTGCATCTTATTTTTCTAGGGAACTGCTGCATCACAGACTGTACCAAAGCCCAGAGATAAACATACAAACACAGTGCAGAAATGTTCACAGGAGAAAGAGGTGAGTGCAGCCGAGACTAGATCTAGGACCAGGATCTACTAGACCAGGAAACACTAATCAATATTTAGTGATTTACTGAAATTAAAACTTGGTAGAATTATTTTTGGCAGTAATCACAGCTGTAAACTATTTTAATCTGTATTTTTTGACAACTAATTTTATCAAAATAACTTACGCCTTATTAGTTTGGATAGTGATAGTTAGTGAATTGCAATTATATATTTCTACAGATTGTGAGTGGATTGAGGTCTGAACTTCAACTTATCCATTCTAAGACATTTAGGTTCTTGACTTTAACTCATTGTAGTGTAGGTTTGTCTGGATATTATTTAGGGTCATTATCCAGATGAAAGGTGAGCCTCTCAAGTGTATTGCAAACTGAAACAGGTTTTCCTCTATAAATTACCTGTATTTTGCTTCATCTCTGGCAGTGCAAAGTATCCCTACAACACAATACCAGCATGCTTAACCATAAAGAAGATTTTTTTTTTTCTCACCAGTCATCCATATGGCTGTCTAGGTCTGTTTGGCATCTAGGTTATAGTTGTCCCACAGGGAAGTTGGGGGGTGTACTCCCATCTTATCTTCTTCCAGCTCCTTCAGAGTCACCATTGGCATCTTGGTTATTTCTCTGCCTACTGTCTTCCTTGCCAGGTTACTGAGTTATGTTAGATACCCTTCTAGAGGCACATTTGTGGTTGTGTAATACTCTTTGCATGTCTGTAATAATGCATTTACTGGTTCTCATGAGGATATTCAAAGATGTATATTATAATCCAAACCTGATTGGTGACCATAATCTTAGACTTGTTTGCTTTCTTACTGGTGTTTATGATGTTTGATTAAGCCATGATCTGTCACAAAGTCATGGACCTTTTGAGGAACAGGTGCATATATATTGTGAGCATGTGACACTTTAATTGCATACAAAACTAAAGTGGGATAGCCAAACGTTTTAGAATGATGATGGGGCCTCCAAATATGGTAGCAAACAAAGATAAAGGCTCTGTTAGGAGCCGAAATGTTGCCGCTCTTCATCTATTATATTTATATATATATATTTATATATATAATTTTTTATAATTTTAAAGGCAGTTTTTTGCACCAGGGAATATTTACAGGATTTCTAGCATTAGGCTTAATCCAACAAGTTAGTAAGGTTTATTAAATGAAAATGTAGAACACCAGAATCCTGACTCCCAGTATTGTGAAACCATTTGACAATTTACCTGTGGTCCCCTGGGTGCCTACCGCCACCTCCTCTGTAGCCTGAAAAGTCCACTGAGCTAAGCCCTGTTGAGCACTGCACGCCCTGAGGACTCTATAGTTTACTTCAATTCCAAAATACAATTAATTTGCAGATGCTATTAGTGTGGATGTAATGGTACAATATCAGTATACATCACTAGACTAGAAAGCAAGATTGACTAGTGCAATGCGTAGATCAAACAGTCCATGTTAACGTTTTGCCCAAGTTGATTTAGCTTTACAAGTGCTGAGGTAGGGTTCACCTTATTTTTATTACCTTATTCACCTATTTTGCATTATGGACATTTATTGGTTGAAAATGTTAGCACGAAAGTATTTTAATTATAACAGTTAACTCTATTGCTACAATGTAAAGGTATGAACATTAAATTCCATCAAGATTTCCATAAAATCACAGCATTAACACAATCAGACTTTAGTGGAACATATTGCTGTAAAAGTTAGGGGCGCCAAAGCAGATTTACCATTGAATGAAAGCACTGACTTGCTCAACTGAATTTTTGCATTTCAGACAAACACCAGCATAGAACCCTCGGAGGAAGATTTGCAGTTGTTGCGGTTTTATGCAACTCAAAGTAACGGCCACCTGCAGACTCTGCAATCCTGTGTTGGTGCCTTCCTAAACAGTGCAAGCTCACAGCCTCCCCGTGTGTTTGTGGGACATGGAAAGCAATTGGTCATTGCAGCCCACAAGCTTGTGTTTATCGGTGACACGCTCGGCAGGCTGCTAGGATGTGCTCAGCTGCAAACAAAACTAGCAGGGGAAGGAAGTGCACTATGCCAAGCACTTAAGGAAGTAGTTCTAGCAACAAAGGAGGCAGCAGCCCTGTATCCATCACCTGCGGCACTCAAAGCTATGGCAAGTAGCGTCTCAGCACTGTGTACCTGTGCACGAAGCTTTACAGACTTGTTGCAAAGTTTGGCTAGCTGAAGTCTGCAGAACAAAGCCAAGAATGTTGCATAGTTTGATGTATCATCCAGGTAATATGGCAAACAGCTTAATATCTCGGGGCTTATGGCTGTGTCTGACCAGAAATAGCAATCACCTGCCATCCTTAACACTTTACAGTCTTGTTTGTATATACCTTTTTATTTTTTGTATTTTCTGTTCATTTTGTTTTTTAAACAAATTATTTATTTTTTATGAGCATAAAAAAATGACTCTGCTGTGGTTTCAAAATAAATAGTTATAGGTAATGAATTTGATGAGATATCTTGATACATATGTTCAGTATAGTAATGAAAGTTGGCTTATGTTCACAAAGTAAATGGATTCAGTATAAAAGAGAGGGCAGTCTTCCTTCAATAAAAATGCACTACATTTTCTCTTATACAAAACAGCATGTAATGACTGTTACAAACATATGCTTGAACACTCTGTAAGGTGGGTATTTTTCCCTCTGCCTGGATAACTGCAGATCCATGTTTTTCAGTCTCTCCACTGTGTAATCTTCCCATAGTTCTCATTCAGTCATTCAGGGTTATTTGCTAAAGTGAGAAGCCAAGTTTCAAGTTTAAGTTTAAAATAGTAAAACTGGAAAAATTATCTTACTAAAATATGCTTCCAGTTCTGCTTCTTCAGCCTTAAATTTGAGATTCACTTTAAATGCTCACTTTATTTAATTGACCTACAGAGGTATCTTAGAATTCTCCATATCATAGCATCCTCTGTTTCTTTTAGAATACAATCGTGCTTTTTTAACTTTCCCCATTTTTCAGCCATCCCCTATTATTGTTACTCCATATAACAATACAGAATGTTCCGCATCCATACGCATAAATGCATACAACAGAGTAGAACACTGAAACAGAAGGCTGCCATTGGAAACAGAAAAGGGACAACTGTAAAATAATTCAGCATTGACTGGGATAAGCATAAGACGGGCTCAAACAAGATTAAAAAAAATTTAAAAAAGAACAAGGTTTCGAAAGAGAAGATTTTGGGGCTAAATGGACCTTTGTATCTGTGATGGAAAAGGTCTAGTAATTAAATACATAAGATACAAAATATTTCTTAGCTCAGTATTACAGTGCCTTAAAAACATCATGGTTCGGGGCTTACTGTGCTTCTAAATTATTTAATCAGTTTTTATATGACATGAAGTATTGTTTTGCCTAAAGTAATCTATTTACCAATTGCTTATTCTTCCAGAGGGATTCATGTTACTATTTAACTCCTTTGATGGGAGAGAATATGCTCTGACAGCTTGAGAAGAGGGATTGTGATTAGAGGAGGTGGGCTCATGACAAACAAGCATAGTTCTGAAAAATGTAAAAGAAAATGCATTAAATTAATGACAAAGAAGTGTGGTATACTGGCGCTTAACTGAAAAATGAGTGCAGCTAAAAATCCACCGTAAAATCAATCACTAAATTTCACTCTTTAAATATCAGAAACAGACACCTCAGGGTGGATAGCGCACTTACACATGAAACATAAATTGATTATGATCAAGATATCACCATATAATTATTATTGCACTGTTAGGTGAATAAATTGAAAATATATATACCATTTGCAGAATGAAATTGAAAAATAAAATGCTCAATATAGGGCAGTACAGCTAATATATACAGGTTCTTTGTCTTTATCTCTTCTTGGGAGAAATTGATCAACAGAAGTCTTACCTGAGAACTACCTTTATCCCACCCATGCTGATATACCTGAGCCAGTGATATACAGGCTCCTAAAAATGTGAGTTCGATATTAAAGAAAAATAATATTTTATTACCTGTATACTTTAGCTATACTGCCCTGTTGTGAGCATTTTATTTTTCAGAAAAGGGCGTGTTTACATTGCTGCCTAGTAACTCCTAGTGACAGTGACTCAGGCGGCTACTAGAGGGTCCTATGTTCAGTGTCTCAAGCGTCTTATTAGGCCCTGCGATTTCGTCATTTTGATGGAAAAGGGGGCGTGGCTTGGTTTTATATGTTGACTATAGTGATCCTTTAAAGGTGACCTGTCATGCCCCAAACAATTTATGCCCATTAGTTTGTGTGTAAGATTCTTATTATATATTTTGCTAGCAAATGTATAGATTAGAAGGAAAAACCTTTTTAAAAATAGGTTTTGCTCCCACCTGTCAGGAAATGCCAAGGCGTTCCGAGGCATTCACTGGCAAGGGAGACCAGAAAAAGGAGGTCCCTATGCTCTACACCTATAGCAACTCAGGCTGGATATGTAGTATAGGAATGGAGTGATGTCACTCCGTTTCAACACCAGTACACTGGAAACAAAGCCAGCGTGGCTACATCGCTGAGGAGAATTATCCTGCTTGGGGATGTGTCCAATGCAGGACAAATCAAAGAAGACTGCTGGAGGAGTGAAGGACGACCCTGAAGTAGGTGTTATACAATAAGTAACATCCATGAAGCAGCGATGGAACGGAGGAAAAGTGAGTAAATCTCTATAATTTGACAAGGGCCAAATAGTGATGACTAGACGACTGGGTCAGAGCATCTCCAAAAGGGCAAGCAGTTGTTAGTACCTACTAAAAGTGTTGCCAAGAAGAGCAACTGGTTAACCTGTGACAGTCATGGGTGCCCAAGGCTCATTGATGCACGTCGGGTACAAAGGCTAGCCTATATCATCCAATCACACAGAAGAGCTACTGTAGCTCAAGTTGCTGAAAAATATCCTAAAGGTGTCAGAACACAGTGCATCTCAGTTTGCTGCATATGGGGCTGCGTAGAGAGCCTATGATAACCCCTGTCCACCGCTGAAAGTACCTTCAATGGGGACATGAGAGTCAGAATTTTACCATGGAGCAATGGAAGAAGGTTGCCTGGTCTGATGAATCACATTCTTTTAGCTTTGGTGCATGGTCAAATGTGTGTGTGTCGTTCTCCTGGTTAATAGATGGTAGCAGGATGCATTAGGGGAAGAAGGCAGGCCAGTGGAGGCAGTGTTATGCACTTGGCAATGTTCTGCTGGGAAACGTTGGGTCCTGGCATTCATGTGGCTGTTACTTTGATATGTATAACCTACCTAGAGATTGTTGCAGACCACATACACCCCTTCATTACAATGGTGTTCCTTGATTGCAGATTTCTTCTAGCGGGATAATCCACCCTGCCGCATTGCAAAAATTGTTCAGGAATGGTTTTAAAAACATGACAGAGTTCAGGTGTTGCTTTGGCCTCCAAATACCCCAGATCTTAATGTGATTTAGCATCTGTGGAATGTGCTGGAACACCAAATGTGATCCATGCAGTCCCCACCTCACAACTTGCAGGACATAGAGGATCTACTGATAATGACTTGGTGCCATATACCACAGGACATGTACAGAGGTCTTGTGGAGTCTATACCTCTATACTAGGCAGGTGATATTAATGTTGTGGCTGATCAGTGTATTTGTATGTGTGTGTATATAATCACACACATACAAGGCCAGGTGGTGACGTTGGTGACTCCCATAGTGGGCAGTTCTGCCCACTCAAGGGCATCTCAGCCTGACATCAAGCGCTGCAGGGTTGCAACCTCCTTGCTGGCCACACATCACAAGTGTATCTAATGATGCGCTTACTCTGTGCTTCCTGGGTACAGTTTCTCTGTGTCCCCATATGCAGTACTCCAGGAGACAAAATGAGGACAGCAGGACAGAACCCCATTATTATTAATATAGTGCCAAAAGAGGGGGCAGGGAGGCAACTGCCCCCCAGGCCGCCCACATCCATCAAAAGAAGGAAAAATCGGAATCCCCTACCTCTGGCTGGAGACTCGATATTTTTCAACTTACCTCACTCTCCCCGCAGTCAGTGGAGTCGGCCGGCCTCTTTTGATAATGTCAGGAGGAGGGGGCGTGACTTTCACTGTTCTTCTCCCAGGACTGCTGGGGAGTCTGGGAGAAGAGCAGAGGAAGTCACACCCCCTCCTTCTTCATCAGGAGAGGCCGACTTCACGGACTGCTGTATGCTGGTTGCTGCCCACCCCTCCCTGGCCTAAGATAAGACTCAGGGAGGGGGGGAATACACTTCAGGGTTTTTTTTTTTTTTTATCTCCTTCCTCAGCCCCTGTCCCCCTTCCACAGCCCCATAACATCCCCACCACAGCTCCTCTCCCCCAGTTGCAACCCATATCACCCACGTCACAGTCCCTTTCCCAAATTGTAGCCATCAACCTACTTCAGCCCCTATCCCTCCACTACATTTCCTAACCCCCCCTCCACTACAGCCCTGTCCCCTTACTCAGCTCCTGTCTACTGGCTTTTTTTAGAATTCTTTATTTTTGCATTGACAGACATTACAGCTTGTAAACATTATTGGGGCTTGTGCATAAGCCTAGCATCAAGAGGTACATTGGTATTTCAGTGATACTGGAAAAAGATAATCGTTTGGTTAGGTATACATTTGTTGTTCGGAAGCCCCTACTTTCTGCGTTGTTGACTGAAGCTGCAGTCCATCAGTGTTTTTCCATTTTCGTAAACACAATCAACTTCAAAACCTGGAAACACCCTATTTGGTGTTTTCCTTAAGGTAACCCGAACTTCTAAAACTTTGTATCATAACCTGTTATTCTATTCGTCTCGTAGTTATTGTTATTCTCCTTCCCCACCCCGACCCCCCGCCCCCAGATTATGAGCACCTGAGTGGAGCATTACATTTCTTGCGTGAGCCGTGTTTGTGATGACTATTCGTTATCTGATCGTTTACACTTTGCCCTGCCCGATGTTGGGCCCTTGTGTCTTCCTCTGTGCCTCCTTCCCACAATACAACTACCCATTATCGTGGCTGTAAGTCCCCTTTGTGAAGAGTGTGGTAGATACCTAGTATTTTGCTCTTGTTAGCCCCCCTGGTCTCAGATTGTTATAAGGCTTTGGGCTTGTGTGTTTTACACTCCCTACTGTGCAACTTTTGTCAGCCCCCCCCCCCTATTTATTTATTTATTTTACGTGTATAGTTGCCCTCTTCTATGAGAAGGCAAAGAGAGAGGAGGGCGGATTTAGTTTAGGTATCAGGGAGGGGCGGGGAGGTAGCGGACCAAAAAGGGGGGGGGGACTTGCCGGGCGCGCCCGCTGCCTGTGTGTGTGGTGGTGGGTGCCGCTTTGGTTGGCTCTAGTATCTCATGGTGTGCGCACCATTCTTTATTGATATTCCTCCCACGATTGCCACACCTTTGAGAAAGTGCCCATGGTGTTCCGTACCTGCGCTGTCAATTTGTCCATGGTGAAATTGTCCTGTATTTTGTGGATGACTTTGCTCATAGGGGCTTAGCCATTGTTGGGTCAGTGCTCTTCTGGCTGCTAAGGTCAGTTTGTCCCTCCAGTCCTCCCCTTCCAGTGTTTGGTGTAGATCTTTCTCCCATTGGGTGATATAGGTGAGGGGTTCTGTGTTCCTCTCTGGGGCGCTAAGTTGTGCGTAAAGCCCGGTAATCAGTCCCTTGCGTGTGGTTTCTGTTATGCATAATCTATCAAAGCTAGTCATTGGAGCCTTAGCTACTTCTCTTACTCTAGGATGGTTAGCGAAGTGCCTTAGTTGTATATATCTGAAAAAGTCTCTAGTCTGTAGTGGCGCTGCCTGTTTTAGTTCGTCAAAGGTTTTGAATGTGTCTCCGTCGTATAGGTGATAGTATCTCTGCAGGCCTGCGTATTCCAGACCTTTGAAGTCCCTCGCCCGCATACTTGGTGCGAATGCCCTATTTCTCAAATATGGGGTGAGAGGTGAGGGCATTCTCGTTAGAGCATATTTTTGTGCGTTGGCGTCCCATACTGTAATGGAGTTGAGTATAGCTGGGCAGTCTGTGAGTAAGGGTGGTCTGTCTGATTTTGGTACCCAGATCCAGTACTGGGGAAGGTCTCTTCCCATCACTAGGGATTCAAGATCTGCCCATCTGCGTCTATCTGGGGGTGAGTGCCACTCTATTATTTGGGCTAGCTGTGCCGACAGGTAATACAGGTGAAGATTGGGAAGTCCCAATCCCCCTAGTCCCTTTGGTCGGTAGAGTATGTGTCGGGCTATCCTTTTGTGTGCCCATACAAATTGGTCTATGTTGGTTTGTAGGGATTGGAGGTCCCCTTTCGTGACTTTCGTGGGCAGTGCCTGGAAGAGGAACAGCATCCTCGGTAATACATTAATTTTAATTGCGTGAAGACGGCCTATCCATGAGATCGGCTTCTCATGCCATTTTTCTAAGTCTTTTGTTATTGTTTTAATCATTGGTGTGTAGTTTTCCGTATACAGTCGTGAGACCTCTTTTGTTAGTTTGACCCCCAAGTATTTTATATGTTGGTGGTTTAGCTTTATATGTGTCGTCCTCCCTATCAGCACCGTGTCTTCCGCCGTCAACCCCAGTGGCATGGCTTCTGATTTTTCCATGTTTATTTTATAGCCTGCTACCTGGGCGAACTCCTCTAGCAGCCGGACTAGACTCGGGAGGGAGTTCTCCAGGTCCGTGAGAGTGAGCAGGATGTCATCTGCGTACGCAGATACTTTATACTGCTCTGTTGCTATTGTCAGTCCCTTTATGTTTGGGTGTTTCCTAATCTTGTAGAGGAGGGGTTCTAGGGCTAGTATGAAGAGGAGCGGCGAGAGAGGGCAGCCCTGCCTTGTGCCGTTACTTAGCTGAAATGGTTTTGGGATCGCTCCTGGTATGGCTATTTGGGCCTGTGGATTCGTGTACAGAGCTTTTACCGCTGTGATGTAGTTTTCTGGTAGGCCTATGTGACGCAATAGGGCGAACAAGTAATACCATTGGATCCTGTCGAAGGCCTTCTCCGCGTCCAGCGATAGGACGAGAGAAGGCGCCCGAGTTTTACCGGCCCACCAGATCAGGTCCACTGCACGTCTAGTGTTCTCATACAGTTGCCTATTGGCACAAAGCCCACCTGGTCCGCGTGGACCAGCCTGGGCAGGATGTGACCCAGCCTGGTGGCCAAGATCTTGGCGTAGATTTTGGAGTCTATATTAATCGGGGAGATGGGGCGGTAACTGTTCACCTTCGTTTCGTCCTGTCCCGGTTTCTGGATAAGAACCACGTTCGCCGTGGCGAGCTCTGCATTGGGACGTCTCCCCTCCATCCATTCCTGGTACATTGTTGTCATGTGCTAATTCTGTTCGCAGTGCTTTATAGTAGGCCCCAACAAACCCGTCTGGTCCCGGTGTCTTATTGCCCTCTATCAACCCTATGGCCCTGTCTACTTCTTCTGTCGTAATTGTTGACTCTAGGCCTATTAGGTCTTCCCTATTTGGCTTGGGTAGGTTTATGCTGTCCAGGAAGTTTGCGACTGCCTCTACGTGTTCCCTGTTGGTTTCATCCTTCTCCAGGGAGTGATTGTATAGTTGCCGTAGGAAATTGGTGAATTCCTCGGCTATGTCCTGTGGGGAAGTGAGGGATTGGCCCCTTTCGTTGGTTATGGATGTGATGTGTTTGTGTTTTTGTTTGGGCCTGAGGGCTCTAGCTATTAACGTATCCATTTTATTGGACTTTTCGTAAAAAAGTCTTCTCGATCAGGTGATATCTCTGCTTACCTCATCCAAGAGGAGATTCTTCAGCGCATGTCTGATGTTTTGTATGTCATCTAGTGTGGGCTGTGTCGGATTCTGTTTGTGTTGCATTTCCGCTTTGCGGAGGGCCTTCTGTAGTTCAGTTAGTTTTTCCATTTTTTGTTTTTTATTACGTGTCGCTATTTTTATTAGGGTTCCGCTTTGTGGGCCGCCCATGTCATAGTGGGGGATATTCCTACCGTGGTGTTTAATTCAAAGTACTTGTTTACTTCTGTCTTAAGTAGCTCTAGGGTGTCTTGGTCTCTAAGGAGGGAGTTGTTAAGCCTCCACCTCCAGGGGGCCCGAGGCCCCGGAGTGTGTAGGGTCAGGGCAATGTCAGCGTGGTCTGACCAGGATATCATATTTATGGCGGACGACTTGAACCATCTCATACCTTGTTGATTCGTAAGGAATACGTCTATTCGGGAGTAAGTGGAGTGTACTGCTGAATAGTGGGTATAGTCTAGTGTGCCTGGGTGTTGCAACCGCCAGGGGTCCAGAAGCCCAGTGTTTTGTAGAAATTTGTTTAGTAAGCGATCCTGTCCTCCTCTACCCTGTGATCTGGGTTGACCTGGTTTGCCACTGCGCTCGACCGCGGGACACGGCGCTGCGTTCAGGTCGCCCCCTAGGATCAGTATACCCCCCGTCAATGAGTTTATGAGCTTTTCCAGAGTGGTCCAAAAGTGGGCGTCAGGGATGTTAGGGGCATATACGTTTATGAGGTGGTATTTGGTGGCGTTGATCATTCCCGTGAGTATTATAAACCGTCCATCCGTTTCTCTGTGTATGGACTGTATTACCAGTGGGCATCGTTTGTGGATGACTATTTCTACTCCCTTTGTTTTACGGAGCGAGCGTGTCGCGTATGTTTTCGTATATATGTGGTCTATGATTTGAATCTTGGAGGTCTTAGGGAGGTGGATTTCCTGTATGAACGCTATGTCTGCCTTCTGTCTGTGTAGTTCCCTGAGTAAGAGGGATGCGTTTGTTTGGCACATTAAGGCCGTTTACGTTGAGTGATTTAATTTTAAGTTCCATGTGGTGTGGTGTGCTGGTGTACCTTGAGCATCTTTGCCTTGTTGGTGCATAGTACGGTGTGTCCGCCTTGTTGTCGCGCACCGCCCGGCGGTCCCCACGGGGTGGTTGCCGAATGTGCCTTGTCTCAGCGGAATCGTGGGTAGGGGCGGGAAAGGAAAGAAAACAGGTCATGAAAACACATATTGATATCCTTATAACATAACCCATAAAACAGTTATCCCAACTTAGTGGAGGATGTCCCTCCGTGATCCTTATACCTGTCGGATCTGATATCCCGGACTTATCTCTCGCCAGGTCGATCGGGGGTGGCCACCCGCCGCGTCAAGAAGTGTCTCAAACGGGGCGGGTGTACAGCCCCAGAGCACCCCCGCGAGGCTCTATGCTTGTGTCTAACTTGTCGTGGGTGTTTACGACATAGGGTGTGACGATCACCGGCTCCTGTGAGTCTGTCTGCTGATCTGTATAGGTATGTCCTGAGGGAGGGGGTGTGAATGACCCTTCGCCTGTCCTGCGGTTTTCCTCCGTGTCTTAGGTATCTGATCTGCTCCCTCTCCCTGGGCCCCTTCGTTTTTTTATTTTTTTTTCCTTACTTGCTTCCCATCACTTTGTGCCACTTTGTGCTGGTTGCGCAGTGCTGGTTGCGCAGTTGTGTCCACTTAAACCTTTCCCCGGTGGGGGGGGGGGGTGGATGTATGTGTGTGGGTGCTTGCCCTCCGCCGCCTGTCACTTTCATCTTGCCTCTAAAGCCCTTGCCTAGTTTCTGGGGCATTGCCTGGTGGGAAACAGCTAGGTCATATCCGACTTGAGCATCTTCAAATATAGGGAGCCCTCTGCCATCAGTACTATGACCGATGGTTTGGTCTGGTCTATGCCTTTCGCCTTTTAATCAGATACCTCCCGGAGTATATGTGGGATGGCTTGTTGTTAACCCCAAAAGGGTTGTTAATTATACCATCCCCCTAAAGTTAGCGAGTTTTCCTGCTTGCTTTTTTTTTTTTTTTTATTATATATGGAGTGGCTATACTCGTACCCTTCTCCATTCGGGTAATCTCCCCCTCCCTCCCCTCCCTGTCTTTCGTCAGACCCCATGTCCCCTCTGTCCCCTACCACATTTCAATTTTAACTATGTCCACAGTGTCCCTTTAATGTGATGCATCTTATATATATCAACTTGCGTGTTGTATTGTCCATTTTGCATGTCCCTCTGGTGCGGGTCGCCGTCTTTGTTGCCTATCTCGCTCTGCGTTCCAGCCATTCCCTGGGGAGCAGGCCCAGCGCCCTGGGCCCCCTTGGTGGTAAGGCCAGGTCTCCCGTTACCTCGATACCCAGTTCCTGGAGGACACCTCTGGGGTCCATGGATGGTGTCAGCACTGTCGGTCTTGGGCCATTAAAGATGAGCATCTTAAAGGGGAAGCCCCATGCGAAGCGCAGGCCTTTGGCTCTGAGGAGGTCAGCGATGGGTTTCCATTCTCTTCTTCTTGCGAGGGTAGTTGGAGCGATGTCTTGGTAGATCTGTAGCGCCGTTCCTTTATACATGTAATGCTGGAGCCTGCTTTGCTTGAGAATTGCTTCTTTCGTGGAAAAAAAGTGCCACCTGATGATGACATCTCTGGGAAGGCTGTTTTGCGGTCCCTTAGCTCGCAGTGCCCTGTGTATTCTGTCGATGTGCCACAGCTGATCTGGTATCTGTGGTAGGCTGGCGCGGTAAATCTGCGCCATTAGCTGCTCAAGGTCTCCATCTGCGACCTCCTCTGGTAGGCCTCTTATGCGCATGTTGTTGCGCCGTGTTCTATTAGAGTTGTCTTCCAGCTCCATTTCCAGTTCAGCTACCCTGATGAGTAGTGCGTTTGTGGTTGTGGTATTATCATTCTGTGCTGCTACCACATCTTTTAGCCTGCTCTCTAGGGCCTCTGTACGAATGCCTATGGCCTGGATTTCTGCCTTCACCTCCCTAGCTGATCTGTCTATCTCCCCTGCCAGATACCCCTTTACCTCCTCCAGAGAGTGGAGTATAGCATTCTGGGGGTCCTCCGTGTGCCCAAATAGTGAGGATGTCGGCGTGGCCGGTGAGCCAGGAGCGGAGGTGCCCGTCGGGCTTTCCGCGCCATGTGCACCACGTGGCGCGGGCTTAATGGCAGCCAGCATGTCCGCTACAGAGGGATTGCCGCCTTTCTGTTTCTTTGCCGCCGCCTTCCTTTGTGACATGTTGCTCGGGGGGCACTGCGATTTTGCCGATACCAGCGTTGTGCGTAGGGGTGTTTTTTATGGATAAGTGCGGATTGCCGGGCGGGTTACTGAGCCTCTGGTGTGGAGCTCTGGAGTTAGGCTGCCATCACTCTCGGAGTCCAAGCCACGCCCCCCTGCCTACTGGCTTTTAAAGTGTAAAGCTGGTGTGTGTGTGTGTGCGCGTTTGTTAGTGTGTGTCAGATCAGCAAGTGTGTGTGTGCCTGTCAGTGAGTGTTTCTGTTTAGGTGACTGCCTCCACCCCCCTTTCATTCAAATGGGAGAGGTGTTTTTACTCTCCTCTTGGTGCAATGGGCCATTTGACTGGATTTGCCCCCCAGGTTTAAAGTGATACTCCAGGCACCCAGACCACTTCTGCCCATTGGAGTGGTCTGGGTGACAACTCCCACTACCCTTAAACCTGCAAGTGTAATTATTGCAGTTTTCATAAACTGCAATATTTACATTACAGGGTTAAGTCCTCCTCTAGTGGCTGTCTACTACTACTCATAGAACACAAAAACTGTTTTAAAACAACGCTGGACGTCCTCATGCTATGTGAGTACCTCCAGTGTCGCCATAATCCCCATAGGAAAGCATATAAGGTCTAATTCGCATGTGCGGCCATTGCCGTGCATGCGCATTAGGTCTCTCCACCGCCAGCTGGCGTAGGTGGAGCCTGACCCAGCACGAGGCACATCGGCGCTGGACTCTGGTAAGTCACTGAACCCTTCAGCAACTTGGGATGGGGGGTGGGAGGTAGAGGGGCACTAGCGGGTCCTGCAGTGCCAGGAAAACGAATACACACATACACACAGACAAACCCCACAGAGGAAAGCACCAAATTGAAGTGGATGAATCAGAAAGGCTAACCTACCAACACACGTGGTCCTGCCCCTATGATTAATAAAGAATGAACTACTTCTGCATTGGAATAACCAATTTAAATGAGAGACCTTATATTAGACATTAATGTAATAAGAGATTTTCAAAGGTGGAGCATTCCAACGTTGCAGGTTAACTAACTGAATCCCATAGAAACATATTGTGACCCTGATACTCCACAATTTTATCAATAACTTGGACTTTGCAAAGAACATTAAATTGCTACAGTAATTATACAACACATAAGCTATCAAAAGTCAATGAGTCTGCACTAAGCAGAATTTACGAATAAAGAAAAAAAAATTCTTTATTTGTTTAAAATATTTTTTATTTTTGTAGTGCATAGTTTTACAGATATGCTTGCATTAACAATTCAGATGATTATATATCACAATGAAAGATAGTAATGATAACATGAAAAGGGGCGTAAAGAACACTATTGGACAGGGGACGGGGGAAAGAACACTATGGGACAGGGGAGGGGGGGAAAAGAACACTATGGGACAGGGGAGGGGGAGAAAGAACACCATGGGACAGGGAGGGAGGGAAAAACACTATGGGTCTGGGGAGGGGGGGGAAGAACACTATGGGACAAGGGGGCGGGGGAAAGAACACTATGGGACAGGGGAGGGGGAGAAAGAACACTATGGGTCTGGGGAGGAAAGAACACTAAAAAAGAGGGAGGGGAGAGAGGAACATTAAGGGGGGAGGGTGGGACCACTAAAAGAGAAGGGAAGTTTTTCATATTAGATTAATTAAATTCATTAAAAAGTCTAATATTAATAAAATTATAGGAAAAAAACTTTTAAAAAATCATTTGGGGAAAAAAAGTCAGTTTCGGCCAAGGGCATCCTGAATTTTCGGTTTCAGCCCAGAATTCTCATTTCGGTGCATTCCTGGTTTTGGGTTTTTAGAGCACTGGGCTAGTTTTGCGCTTGGGTACAACCTGTATAGTCATGATGGATTGCACCCAAACGGAAGAGCAGTGGTGTATCCTGGTTTTTTGCTGCCCTAGGCAGGACAAAACTCAGGCGCCCCCCTGCCCCCGTGCCACCCCCACCCAACCCTTCCCCCCGCCCCACCTTCTAAATACACACACAGTCAGACACAAACACACACACACAGTCAGACACATACACACACACACAGTTAGACACATACACAAACACACACAGTCAGACACATACACAGACACAAACACACAGTCAGACACATACACAGACACAAACACAGTCAGACACAAACACACACAGTCAGACACACACGCAGTCAGACACACACACAGTCAGACACACAAACACCACAGTCAGACACACACACAAACACATACACACACAGTCAGACACATACACAAACACAGTCAGACACAAACACACACACACTCACAAACACAGTCAGACACAAACACACACATACACAGTCAGAGACACACACACACAGAGACACACACACTCACAAACACACAGTCAGACACAAACACACACAGTCACAAACACACACACAAACACACACACAGTCAGACACATACACAAACACAGTCAGACACAAACACACACACACACTCAGACACATACACAGACACAAACACAGTCAAACACAAACACACACAGTCACAAACACACACAGTCAGACACATACACAAACACACTCAGACACATACACATACACAAACAGTCAGACACAAACACACACACACTCAGACACATACACAGACACAAACACAGTCAGACACAAACACACACACACTCACAAACACACACACACTCACAAACAGTCAGACACAAACACACACATACACAGTCAGACACACACACACACAGTCAGAGACACACACTCACAAACACACAGTCAGACACAAACACAGTCAGACACAAACAGTCACAAACACACACAGTCAGACACATACACAAACACAGTCAAACACACACACACTCAGACACATACACAGTCAGACACAAACACACTCAGACACATACACACACACTCACAAACACACACACTCACAAACACAGTCAGACACAAACACACACATTACCTTTTTTTTTAAATTTAAATCCCCCCCCCAACCTCCTTACCTTTGGGAGTGCTGGGGGGGGTCTCTCTCCCTGGTGGTCCAGTGGCTGCAGGGCGGGCGGCTGGCGAGGGAGCACTTCCTATGAGCTGACTGCTCAGCTCCCTCGCGCGCCGGCTGCAGAGTGAGGCTGGGAGCCGGAATATGACGTCATCTTCCGGCTCCCAGGCTCACTCTGCGGCACGCGAGGGAGCTGAGCAGTCAGCTCATAGGAAGTGCTCCCTCGCCAGCCGCCCGCCTGCCAGCGCCGCCCGCCCGGGATGTCAGTTAGCCGCGAGGCTAACTAGGCATTTGCCCTGGGCATTTGGGGGGCGGCGTTTTTTGCCGCCCCCTGAAAAATGCCGCCCAAGGCAAATGCCTTGTTTGCCTCGCTGCTAATACGCCCCTGCGGAAGAGGGTCTGCTGTGCTTGGGGATAGGATGGCTAGAAGGTTGGAGGAGATTTTAAACTAGTAGTAGGGGGGGAGGGTCAAAGCAATCTAGAAAATGGAGATAGGATAGAAAGGAGATGAGCTTTAGCTCAGTGTAAGGGTGGTGGAGATGGGGGAAGGGGAAAGCTCAGATAATATTGATGAAAATTAAAATTCACAAAAAGTACAAATGACTCATGATAATATTAAATGTATGCTTACTAATGAAAGGGGCCTATAGACCAAAATGGGGGAACTAGAGGCAATAGCATACACTAAACAATATGATATAATAGGCATAACAGAAACATGGTGGGACGAGACACATGACTGGGCACTTAACTTAAATGGGTACACGTTATTTAGGAAGGATAGGAAAAACAAAAAGGTGGTGGGGTATGTTTGTATGTCAACCATGAGTTAAAGCCAAATCTTAGGCATGTGGAGTGTGACGAGGAAAATGTGGAAGATTTATGGGTAGATATCTACTTGGGGCAAACTAAGGGAAATTAATTATTGGTTGGGATATGTCAAAAACCACCTAATGTAAATAGAATGAGGAAGAACAGCTGTTAGAGCAAATTGGGAAAGCTGCAAATCGGGGGAATATTTAATTATTGGAGATTTTAATAAATTGGGATAGAGGGACTAGTACGTCAGCAAGGGGAATCAGGTTTTTGAATGTGTTAAATAACACCTTTATGTCACAACTGGTACAAGCACCAATTAGAAAGGATGCTTGTCTGGATCTTGTTAGAACAAACAATGTTGATCTTTTGACCAACATTCAAGTAGGGGAGCATTTAGGAAATAGTGATCACAATATGGTATTTTTTAAAATTAACTCAAAAAAGCAAAAGCACGTGGGGTATACTAAAGCATATAAATTTTCAAAAAGCCTCCTTAGTAGTGATGTCCCGAACGGTTCGCCGCGAACGGTTCGCCACGGACTCATCATTGAGTAAACTTTGACCCTGTACCTCACAGTCAGCAGACACATTCCAGCCAATCAGCAGCAGACCCTCCCTCCCAGACCCTCCCACCTCCTGGACAGCTCACTAAGAATGCATCTTCACAATGAATGTAAAATGGATGCTGTCCAGGAGGTGGGAGGGTCTGATATGATGAAAAAATGTAAATAAAACATACCTAAAATCTGTTACGCATCTACAACCGCCAGAAAACACCCGTGCTAAATAGTTTTGAAATTTTGTCCTGAGTTTAGAAATACCCAATGTTAACATGTTCTTAGCTTTTTTTGGAAAGTTATAGGAGGTGGGAGGGTCTGCTGCTGATTGGCTGGAATGTGTCTGCTGACTGTGAGGTACAGGGTCAAAGTTTATGTTTCTGTTCGCAGTCTGCGGCGAACCGTTCGGGACATCACTATTCCCAAACCATTTTTAAAAAAATTTACGCAAGTTACATTGTAACACTGGTATGTCAGGAATAACCCTTCACATGTATATATTTTTTTAAAAGAAGACAACCGAAGGTATTAAACTTGGGGTATTTTGACTCTTTTCATGGTATTTTGACTCTTTTCATGCAACCAATTAACCACCAATATATGCCAAATTAAATTTTTTTTTAATAAATGGTGATTTTTTTTGACACACAATTTAAGAATACTTGTACTGAGAACTTTAAGGGTTACTGCCAAAGAACACCCCAATATGTGTTCAGCAACATCTCCTGAGTACAGTGATACCCCCCATATATAGGTGTGTTGGGTTCTCTGTGGGCTAAAAGACCTTATTTGGAGGGTGCGCATTCCCGTTTTCCAACTTGGAATTTTCACAGCTGGTCATCATGCACCCATGTCATATTTTGGACATTTTTGAAGCCGGCCAATGTAATTTACCCCCATCAAACCATATATTTTTGAAAAGTAGACACACTACGATATTTCAAATGGTGGTATTTAAACATTTTCCAGGCACTAATTCTACAAACAGTCTTTGTCAAATGTTTGGGTAGTCAAAATACCACCTTCAAATGGTGGCATTTTAACAGTTGCCATGCACTACGGTAATTCCTTCACCAGTCTTTGTCAGACTTTTGGGTAATTACTTTTGTAACCGCGGCTGGTTCCCTTATTTACCACTATAACGTCTTAAAGCATAGAACTTAGTAGGGCTAACCATACAGATATCTTAGCCATAATTACATATAGTTAGTGTAAGAGATCCTCTATTTAACATATATAAATAATTGAGAATACAATATAAAATAATGATTTTTTTGGAAGCAATAAAGTTTTGTCTTTATAGATATTTATTATATAAAAATATAAATATTGACATATAAAATCCATTATAGCAGAGTTTATAAGACAAAATGGCGCAAACATATTATGCACTGAGGTTATTGCTTAAAGAAACATCTATGAAAAACAATATTTTCCATTTCTAACACCTTGTCAGGTTGCAATATCTCTTAAAGACAAAGTACACAGTTTAAGAAATACAACATTTCATTCTAAAACTTGTAATATTTGCATTTGCCCATAACACTTTTTTGTTATTTTTCTCTCACATTGTACTTTAGGCATGGATTCTCAATTCCTGTTATGTGTTACTGACAAAGAACACCCCAATATGTGTTCAACAACATCTCCCAAGTACAACAGTATCCCCAATGTACAGGTTTTATGGCTTTTTGCAAACTTACAGAGGTCAAATGTAGGGCTTTCCCCTATTCCATGTTTGCACAATGAAATTTGCCAGATTGGTTTGCTGGGCCTATGTTGCCTTTGAGACCGTATAGCAGCCCAGGAATTAAAATTAACCCCATCGTGGCATACCATTTGTAAAAGTAGACAACCCACGGTATTCAAAATGGGGTATGTCCAGTCTTTTGTAGTAGCCACTTAGCCAAAGTTAGTGTTCATATTTGTTTTTTGCGTTTATGTTACACGAAAACTGCACTTTTACTGGTGCTTTCATTGTCGTGATAAGTTTTACCGTTGTAAACACTCATATTTGTGTTCAGTGAAGTCTCCCGAGTATAACCATACCCCCATGTACAGATTTTATGGTGGTTTGAAAAGGTACAGGGTCAATATAGTGCTTGCCCAATTCAGTTTGCCAGATTGGTTTGCTGGGTTTGTGTTGCCTTTTGAGACCATATGGTAGCCCAGGAATGTGAAATAACCCCATCTTTTAGAGCCGTCACATGGTTCCTGGGGGTCCTGAATTGGAGAAGGGGGACTCTCTCGGCTCAGTCCAGAGAGTCCCCCCAAAGAAGAAGACCAATCACCGGCGGCGGAACGCGGCGATCAGTAAGTTCATGGGAGAGTAGGGGTTCATTGAGGCACTCAATATAGACAGAGCATCGGAAGCCTACTGAAGACTTCCGATGCTCTGTCTAACTGTGGAGCAACCTGGAAGTGATCGCTCCAGGGGGAGCGATCATCCGGTAATCTCCGGTGGCCCCCGGCAGTGTGGGGGGTATTACAGTGATGCCTCAACATTGAGTCATCGCTGTAACACAATTAGAGCTGCAGGAAGCAATCATGATTGCTTCCAAAGCTCTTACTACCCCAGTACGTATCAGGTACGTCCGCGGTCCTTAAGGACCCTTTCTTGCCCGCCAGAGGGAGTTGTAGAGAGAAAAGAGAAGGGGAGGGCATCTCTATTAGCTGGCCAGCAAGTCAGCTCTTGGCCCCCACCCCATGACAGGGAAATTACAGGGGAAGCCTCAGCGTGCGTATGGGGGGCGGCATTTTTTGCCACCGAAGGCAAATGCCTAGTTTGTGTTAAATCCGTTTTTTATTGAGACAATTTTAGAAACGATTTTCCCTCGCAGGGGATGCAGTGCATATACAGGTAACAATATATTGGACAGCTATGGTATAGCGTTGATATACTGATGTTTGCCTGCTCAGAGGCTGTATATGCGTTATCTCACATACCATAACGGTCAACAAGGCAGTTTTCCCACACGGGTCATATTGTAGGCAGTACAAGGAGTTTTAGGTTAACGTTTCAACCATGGTGTTAGATCGGTGGTTATGGTATGAGGCATAGCCCAAGTTTCCCATACTGGGGAAGCAATGTGCATTTAGGGAGCAGTATAGGGTTCTTTATTGGTATAGCTTTGGTACCTCGATATTTGCCTGCGCAGATGCCTAGTATATTCTTAAACCATAGTTGTTGTGATTGGTCTGTTAGTCTGGTTGCCCCTGCAGGGCTGCCATTTGTATGAAATAGTTTTGTACTTGTGTATGTAAGATGATATCAGACATGTAACAGGTTTCAAAAATATGTCAAACTAAGATAAAGCAAGGTATATAGTAAAACATGGACATTAGGTCTCATTGGCGTTGGTGACCACACTTGGTGGCGGTTCCGCATGGTGAACACATTTGATGAAGGCTAACAGCGTAATGCGGAGTTACTCTGGGGCAGGTATGGCCTAGCACTTCACTGTGGGGCGGGCCATCTAGCCGTTGGGTGGCAGGGTAGGTAATGCTGTCTGTCCTAGCTCGGTTGGGGTGTAGTCTGAGCATGTATTAGGTGTCTGTGTGTATATTCGGGGAATGCGTAAATATACCGGGTGCGGCGTGAGGTCTTGGGGGTGCCCCCTGACTATGCATTTCTGGTCTGTCTTGCAGGTTAGGTAGGCGGAGGGTGTCGTATCAATCTCATGCGCCCCAGGGGACGATAGGTGGTGCCTGCTCGATCTTTGTTCTGTTATCTTCTGGTCGTTCAGGTAGCGGTTATGAGCTGCACGAAGTTGTTCGAGGAGATGAGTCTCAGCCAGTAAAACCAGTTTGTCTGTTTTGGGACCGCTTCTATTTAACATATTTATAAATGATCTTTAAATAGGCATTGAAAGCCATGTTTCAGTGTTTGCAGATGACACAAAACTTTGTACAGTAAAGAAAAGTGAGCAGGATATTGCTTTGCTGCACGGGTATTTGGATAGATTGGGGGACTTGGCACTAAAATGGCAGATGAAATTTAACGTAGAGAAATGCAAAGTTATGCACTGGGGTCAAGAATGCACGAGCTGCTTACATCCTAAATGGTAGTGATTTAGGGATAACCACACACGAGAAGGATTTGGGAATAGTTATAGACAACAAATTAGGCAGCAATAATCAATGTCAATCTGCAGTTGCTAAGGCCAGTAAGGTTTTGTCATGTATAAATAGGGGCATAAATTCTCGGGATGAAAATATAATTTTGCCTCTCTACAAATCACTGGTAAGACCACGCCTTGAATATGCTGTGCAATTTTGGGCACCTGTTCTAAAGAAGGATATCATGGCACTAGAAAAAGTGCAGAGAACATTTTAGTTACGAAGAAAGGTTAACATTTTTTAATCTCTTTAGTTGGGAAAAATAGCGCCTCAAAGGGGATATGATAACACTATACAAATATATTCAGAGCCAGTACAAACCATTATCTGGAAATCTATTCATAAACAGTGTCTATATTGGAAGCGCTTCAGACTAGGTTTTTTTTGCCTTTTTTTGGATCAACAGCAAAAACATATGTGAGGAAGGCCGAACTTGATGGACGCAAGTCTCTTTTCAGCTATGTAACTATGTAATAACTAATGCTGTGTAAACTCTGCAATAAGGATTATATTTACTATAGATACATATATGTCTATATAATGTAAATATGTCACTGTGGGGTTAACAGTAGCAGGGTAATTTACTAAAATGAGAATTCAAAGTGAATATCAAATTTAAGGCCAGAGTAGCCAAACTTAAAGCAGAGCTGACTTAAAGAATTTTTGATTTCGACTATATTGATTTTAAATTCACTTTGAATTCACCTTAAATTCTAATTTTAATGAAAATCAAAGTACATTATGCATAAACAACTAAACATATCAATGCATTGTAGAGTGCTACAGAATCTGTTGGCATTATATAAATGGCAATAATAATAATGCACTTTAGGCAAACTAAGGTGCTGCATCTTAACGCAAATAGGAAAAAAAAAAAAAGCAGAAAAATTGATGAAAACACATTTGTCAGCCGAGTTCTTCAATCATCGTACGGACTATTTATAATGGGAACTCCAGGCACCACTACAGTGAGCAATGGAAAAGCAGAGCCACCTCCCTACTGAATGGATAAGGAAGAGGCCTCAGCATTTCTGTATTCTGTTGCAAGAGCAGACAATAAAGCAAAATAAACAGAGGTAGCAGCAAAGTTGTTTAGATACAGAAAAGACCACAAGATGACACCCAAGAGCCTTCAGGCAGAAATTAGAATGGAAATCCAAATTGAAGGATGAACAGAGCTACTGCTTGCACAAAGCAAGTGCCAGGTTTACCAGTCTTTATAAGTTACCCACTCACTATCCTGCTTGCATGGGCTAGTGGATTACATAGTAACATTCAAATCATGCACTGACTGCAGCCATAGGACAAATATCTGTTGACATATTTAAACTCACTATGTAAATGCATGGCCTGACTACATGCCCTAGAGTTTGGGATTCAAAAGTGTGATAACCTCCCTAAGTTGATATCCTCACATATTTAAATAAAATGGTCCTTTTAAATCTCATCAAATTAAAAACATATTGTATTAAAGTTTAGTATTCAAATAAGATTTAGACTAAATATATGGTATCACATTCAGAAAAAATATAAAACCTTGATGGGACACATTTCTCATGTGGCAGCAGGTGATGTGAAGGCGACATGGGGCAGCAGAGTATGTGTTAGAGGGACACGGGGCAGCAGGGTGTGTGAGGGGAACATGGCTCTGCAGAGGGTCATGGGACAGCAGTGTGTGTGAGGGGAAATGGGGCAGCAGTAGGTGTGAAGGTGACAGGAGGGGCAAAAGTTTAAGTATAAATGATATTGAACAAATAAAATACACCTCTGCATTTATTCCCCCTGCCTTACCTTGGGCTTTGACTGGGGAATAAGTTTCCCTGGTGGTCCAGTGGTTGAACTTGGAGACCGTGCGCGGTGTGGAACGTATCAGAGCATTGTCGTGGATGCTCTGATTCATTAGCTGAAGGTCCCCTTTCATAACTTTGGGCTGGCCAAAGATCTCCCTATCCGCCACAGAGCACTCTCTCTTGGCCTGCGCTCTGGCAGCGCTGGCTCTGCAGGGGCCGATCAGAGAGATTATTTTACTGGATTTTTGGCTAAGCAAGCAAAGATGCATTTTGCTCCATTCCTCAAAAAATACATCTTCCCCGTGTGTCCCTTAAACCACCTCAAGAATTTCTTACCCCCTTTTGTGTTTATTCTCTTTTGAAAGACCCTCCATTCTATGCATATCATTGCCCCCACCAGGTATCTCATTTCCTCCAAACCCATTTTTCTGATTCACCCCCAGCCCTTCCCCCCCTCACCATGTTTCTCATTCTACCCAGCTCCTTCATGTGTCTCATTTCCTCACCCTCCCGCATGTCATGCCCCCCCCCATGTATTTCATTCCTCCCCAGCCCCTCCATGTGTCTCTTCCCCACCACTCCCTATGACCACTATACGATAACCTGTCCAATTAAAAAAAAAAAAAAAATTTACTTTTGGAAATCCAAAATACTGAATGTGGGCCAACCGCAACAGCGAGCCAACCCAATCCGCCAGAGCTCTCCATTCCAATGGAGTAATTCCACAATTAAAACCTGTTTCACAGGGAATTTGATCCATTTATACCAAACTCATTTTATACCTTCATTGGACACTAAAAAAAAATATATATATATTTATATAATCTGGCAGAGACAGTATTACCATCACAAAAATGAGCCTACTGCAGAGGGTTTCATACCCTTTTCAAACACTTCCAATTGCTGTCCCCATTACTTTCTTTACGTCCCTGGGTACCCGCCTAATTTGGTTCAAATGGAAGGGCAAAAAGTCCAAATAACACTACCTGAGGCCAGAGAGGGACTGGCCACCCCTAACTTCAAGCCGTATTATCAGACAAGTCACTTGCTAGGTTTAGTGGAGTTGGCAAAGGAAGGGATGCATTAGCAAAAAAACAAAAAATAGTTTTTGTTCGAAAATCCAGGTAAGAAACATTTTTCTGCTTCGGCAATTCGGACCAATGGTATTCGGTTCGGTACTTCCGAACGTGGTCACTTCAGACATTCGTAACCATCGGAATGTCCAAATAGTAATGAAATTCGTACGAATGTACATTTGGAACGGAACAAATTGCAAGTCTACTTTCTATATCGTATTAATTGGCTAAGGATGTTTGTCCGATGCAGTCATGCGCAGTGGAAAACATCCCATGCCAGGCGGCATGATGTGACACGTACAGGATGACGTCATTGCACATAAAGGAATTAGCTTATTGGTCAAGATTCCGGTTATTCACGTAATTTTCCCTCCCTCTCCTTTTGCCACTTTTCAGAAATCCAAATCACTTTGTGCATTCGTAAGCATCTGAATGGCATAAAAATTTGTACGAATGTACATTCGGAACGAAACGAATCGCACATGTCTAGAATGCATAAACCATGGAAATCCAGAGAGGCAAAATTGGGACGCCGAGTCGGCACTCCTGTTTCTGAACCCCAGGTGGGCTGGCCTCTATGTTATTTATATAGCGTCAACAAATTGCGCAGCGCTTTACAGTTGGTGGACGAACAAACATGTAGTTGTAACCAGACAAGTTGGACACAGAAATGGAGGGCTCTGCTCAATGAGCTTACATGCTAGAGTAGCAAAGGGTAAGGATAGTATTAGACTAATAAAAGTTGCAAAAGAGGAATAAGTTGGGAGCTATTAACAGTTTAATTGATACGCTTTTGTGTTGGGTTAAGTGGGTTTTTAGTTTTTTTTTTTGAAGGAGTGGAGGCTGGGGAGAATCTAATGGAGGAGGGAAGCAAGTTCCACAGGAACGGTGCAGCCCTCGAGAAGTCGAGTGCGAAGTGCGAGTACAAACAGAAGATAGACGCAAGTCTTCAGCAGAGTATAAGGGCCTAAATGGGACATACTTGTGTATTAGGAACGATATAGGTGGGAACAGCATTACGTAGAGCTTTGAAAGCAAGGACCAGAATTTTTAATTGAGCCTTATATCTTACAGGAAGCCAATGTAGGGACTGACAAGGGTAAGGCGTGGGAGGTGCGGGCGGACAGGAAGATGAGCCTCACCGCCGCATTCATTACGGACTGGAATGGTGCAAGTTGGGAGCACGTAAGACCACTGAGAAGCGGATTACAGTAGTCAAAACGAGAAAGGACAGTGGAACGGACCAGCACCTTAGTCGCATCTGGCACTAAGTAGGGTCAGATGGGCACAATGTTTTTGAGATGAAGCGGCAGGATTTGGCAATAGACTGAACGGGAGGTGTAACGGAGAGGTCGGAGTCAAAGAGAACACTTAGGCAGCAAGCCTGCGAGGTGGAGCTGATGGTAGCACTGTTTACTTGGAGGGAGAGACAAGAGTAGCAACACTTGAGGGAGGAAAGACCAGAATTTCAGTTTTGGTCAAGATGAGTTTAAGTGGGCAGCCATCCAGCCAGAAATAGAGAGGCAGTCAGAGACACTAGTCAAGAGGGACTGGGAGAGATCAGGAGAGGACAGGTAGATGTGCGTCATCCGCCTAGAAATGATATTGGAAGCCAATGGAACTAATACGTTTACCAAGGTAGGCAGTATAGATTGAGAACAGTAGGACCAAGGACTGAACCTTGGGGGACACCAACAGAGGAGTTAGGGAGAAGTAGAGCCAGAGAGAAACACTGAAAGAGCACCAGGAGAGAGCATTATCTTGTATACTGATATTGGAGGATGAGAAGAAGCTGTTGATGATTAACAGTGTCAAAAGCTACAGAAAAATCAATGAGAATTAGGCTAGAGTAGTGACCATGAGATTTTGCAGCGAGTAGATAACTGGATACTTTGGTCAGTGCCATTTCTACAGAGTGCTTAGCGCAGAAACCAGACTGAAGCGGGTCTAGCAGAGAATTGGACTTGAACTTGAAGTCTGTCAATGTCACATACACAACTCTTTCAAGGATCTTAGATGCAAAAGGCACTAGCGATATAGGACAGTAAGTTGGAGACAAAGATGGACTTCTTTAGAATAGGGGTTACAGTTGCATGTTTGAAGGGCGATGGAAATATGCCAGAGGAGAGAGAACGATTGAGAATTTTAGTGAGAGGTAAACAAAGAAGAACTTACAGATGAGATGCAAGGGAATTGGATCTAAGGAGCAGGAGGACTGGAGCAGAAAACTTCTGCTGTAACGGGTGTGAATGAACATGGATCATCAGGAGTGAGGTAATGGGAAGTATTGCAAGGAGAGATTTCTTCCCTGATTGTAAAGATCTGGTCAGTGAAGTGAGTTGCAAAGTCTGAGTTGGTCTAGTTAGTAGGTGGAGGAGGAACAGGGCAAAGAAGTTAAATGTGTGAAGTAGTTGTTTGGGTTCACAGGAGTGTGGTGTTATGAGGGTATCGAAGTAATTTACTTTTGCAAAGTAAAGAGCCAAGTTGTATAAGCGCAGCATAAATTTATAGTGGGGAAAGTCAGACGCACAGTGCAACTTTGGATAACGGCATTCAGCAGTTCTAGAGCATTTTTTTGAAGATATCGCGTCAGCTTGGTGTGCCAAGGTTGTTTTAGTGGGCGCTTGCTGCGTTTAAATGTAGGAGGTGCCATGATGTCTAGTTGAAAGGAGAGGGTGGAATTGTAGGAGTTTGCAGAGCTAGGACAGGTGAGTTGAGATCGGTAAAAGGAGAGTTTGGAGATTAGTGGAGGTTTCTGAGATTGATGTTCAGCCGGTGGTGTCAACTGAGTCTTAGGTGTGCCGATGTCAAGTCAGCAGATGTAATTTCACTGAGCAGGGCCCTCAATCCCTCTGTTCCTGTGTGTCCAACTTGTCTGGTTACAACTACGTTTGTCCATCCACTGTAAAGCGCTGCAGAATTTGTTGGCGCTTCATAAACAATAGGCAATGGTATAGTTGGAAGTTGGCAACTGCATAAAATACATTACAGGTGAACCATGTAAACCTTTGAGATGTTAATGGAACAATGGGGGTATTATGCATCATATTGTAGAAATATAGAAGAATATGTAGAACTAACCTAACTAAGCATTTTCCCATCTGCTTTATCTTTGCCAAATAACATCCAGTCATGTTGGAATAAACCAGCAACTCTGTTCCTTATGTAAGCAGTCTTAACCAGTTGAGTTAATTGTGATTAGACAGACCACAGTGCTCAGTACAAGAGACAACTGGTTTATAGCCATGCTTTATAATAAGGCCTATCAACATGCAATCCAACACTTTACATTCTGATCATTTAATAGAGTTGAAAGAGTTAAATGAACCTTTTCTTGCAGTGAAAGAAAGGAACTAATTTACAAGTTTCTGCTGGCACCCAAAAAGGTCATTGATTGCATATAAAAAGGAATATGCAAAACAATTAAATTCCTTTGGCTTTGTTAGTGTTTAAACAGATTTCAAAAAACATGTTCATTTTTCCAAAACTTTTTTTTTTATTTTTCTCATTAACCTTCCTGCCATACACTATATATATAAAAAAAATAAAATAAGTCCTTCTGACTGAACAAAAAAAGAAAATAAAAACAAAAAGAAAACAAAACAAAAAGACAAAACAAACTAAAAAAACAAGTGTCTAAAACAAGAAATTTCTCCCAGCTCTGGTCTTCCAAAAGAATGCGGTAATCTGAGCCAGAATAAAAGTAAAGTAAAGGCTGTTGTGGGGGGCAGCCGAATCTCTCCGGAAAACAAGCTTCTCCCATAGAAAGAAACCTGCAAAGATAAAAACACGCAAAAAGAAAAAAAAAAAACACAAAGAAAAAAAAGAAACAGCAGGATGTTTAGCAGACATCACCCACCCCCATATACAGAGCTGAGATAATGCTGGCTTTTAACCACCCATTACACATTCAATTATATAAATCCTGGAATTCCCACCTAGAGGTACCAAACCAGAAGAAGTCAGGGACAATTCATACATCTCCACACACTGGAAACTGGAACAACCCCATCTCTTCCACACACTTGGCATTAGAAATCTGCCCTATCACAACCCTTTATATGCAGTGCATGGAGTACACAAGGGTAGTGGGAGCACAAGAGAAATAGGGGACCCACATCTTAAACTCTTAAAATTCTTTCCAGTCTTCTTTTTTTCATTTTTTTGTGTTTTTGCCTTTTCAGGTCTTCCTAATGTTTTATTTTTAGTAAGGAGTATACCATGACGTCACTCGAGCCCGACCCCTGTAAAAGACAAGACATGTTTTAGACATTGTGCCAATACCTCGAGACCTCCCTCTGGCAAGAGGACAACCCCAAAAATGCACTGCCCCCATCCATTGGAGAGCATTCCCCAGACCTGTACACGCGTCCTCTGGGTCTGGCAGTGAAGCCACTGTAGAAGCGGGAACGCGAGCTGTAGGAGGATGCCCTGGCTCTATATCTCGCCCGTAGATAGCCTCTGTCTGTTGAACTGATACCTGGTCTGTTAGTCCGCTTGGGAACTACCTATAAATAGAAGACAAAACATTTCAATCCCTCTGTAGCTAACAGGTCAAATAAGAGAATGCTGCACTACCAGACTTATCCATAGCTACATAAAGTGAGAGGGCAAGTCTGCAGTGATTTATTAAGCAATCTAACCAAATACAAATTACAACAATGGAGAAGTCACACAAAGAAAATTATAAATCATTCTAGGTTAGAAGGCAAAATTAAAACCATAGGTAGAACCAGGACAGTGAGACTGACAGATTAGCTGTTGCATATCAAGTATCAATTAGATACATTGTTTCCTACAGAATTACTGCATAATACACAAGTGTGATTTAAGACAAATACATTATTGTACCTTTATTTGTCTCCCTCTGAACAGTGATTCATCCAATGCCATTGACGTCCTGACCGATTCTTTATCTGAGAATTCTATGTAAGCAAACCTAAATAAAGAAATAATAAAAAGTCTATACAAATCCTTACTATGATTGGCAACCATCTGCAGGGACTCTTTACCCATAAAAGATGAGATCTATTACAACTAAGCACATTTTTAAATGTAATTGGCAAATAGGATTTTAAGCATTACAAAAATTCTGAAAGCAGGGCTATTATTTCCAACAGCTTGATGGAACATGACTTTCTTTGCCCTTACTGGTGTTCAAAGTTTGTCTCATCGATGAGGGGACATCTAGTTTGAGAGAAATCTAGCAATATGGACCCCAGGCCCTGGTTAAGAAATCTTAGCACAACTGTTTCATTGATAGTATTTGCAGCACCAGTATTTTATATTTCACATATTCCAAGGCAGAGCTTTTGCTTGTATTAAAAGCACCCCTAATAAGCCTTGTTTAAATAAAAGAATCACATCAACATTGATTCACCACAGACCCACGTATTACCAAATGAAACATACCCTTTTGGATGACCAGTATACTTGTCACACAGAATGGTCACCCTGTTCACAGAGCCACATCCATGGAAATGAGCCTCTAACTCTTCGGCAGTCGCACCATAGTCAACCTGCATAAAGACAACTTTATGAGGCAGAGAAACCAACACTTGCCATTGCGCTTCAAAATCTAGTTCATACCTGTCAAGTATGTCAAGCCAGGCTGCAAAAATGTATTCATAGAGGACACTTACATTTCCTACATATATGGAACGGGCATCTGCCTCCATTTTTTCTTCTACAGACATGATGACTGGCCCGGCTAAAGACAAGAAAGCAAAGTTACTGGCGTGAAACTCCCATGTTAGGGAGTTTGATGGAGTACTCCTTAAACAGTAGCTAAATGAGGAAAGATGACTAATAGAACACTATTCAGTTTGCCTATTTAACTAGTTCCATATTTGTGTAATGATTAAATGGGCACTCTAAACAAACTTTGCAGTCAATGGCATAGCAGTAAGCCAGAAAAGTTCCATAATGTATAGCTTTAACATTAAACATTCGCTAGTACACTGAATAGATTAAGTTATTCTCTTTAAAGGACCACTATAGTGCCAGGAAAACACTCTCCTCCGATCCTCCTCCCCGTCGGCTGAATGCGCACGCGCGGCAAGAGCTGCGCGCGCATTCAGCCGGTCACATAGGAAAGCATTCATAATGCTTTCCTATGGACGCTGGTGTGCTCTCACTGAGAAGCAAGCAAGCACCTCTAGCGGCTGTCAATGAGACAGCCGCTAGAGGGAATGGGGGAAGGCTTAACCCATTCATAAACATGTTGATGAAAAAATGGGCTAACCCTAGCTGGACCTGGCACCCAGACCACTTCATTAAGCTGAAGTGGTCTGGGTGCCTATAGTGGTCCTTTAAAGAGGCAACAGTCCATGTGCATCATGACAACTATTTTATCTTCTAACAATTGGGAATTTTACACCGATTACATTTGCTTAAAATAGGTACATGTTGCACAGATTATATACATGTTATACAAACATTTTGGGAAGACCTCTCCTTCACAACAAACCATGAGCACACAGCACAAGTGGAATGGCATGCATGAATAGTAATCTTAGTGAGAATATGTGGAGGACATAGATGGGGCCTCATGTCTCAACACTAGTGATGAAAACTACGTAGCTGCCAATACTGCTGTATGACATGCAAGTTTCAAGTAAATCATGATAGATTTATATACACTACATGAAACTATGTACATTGTTAAAACCCCTTGAAATCAAACACCAGTACTTCCTAGTATCTGAAAATGCTGCATATCCTTTGATCTCTAGCAGACATTTAAAGTTTAATTTTGCTTATGTAATCAAAATGATCAATTCAATCCTGGAAGGTTTGTTTAAATTTTCAAGACAAAATGATCCTAAAATTGATTCAGTCTATGAAACAAGGAAAATATGAATTGTTGAGCATGAAATGCAAAAAAAAAACAAAAAAAAACTAAAAATGCAGCAGGTTTTTTTTGGTTTGAAAGGCTTTCTGATGCTATGTTTACATCATTTTCACATTTACAAGAGAGGTAACAAGCAAACATTTTCAGAAATATCCACAACTGAGAAAAAAAAAAAAAAAATCAGGTTAAAAAAAACATTCCTGCTCATTCTTATTTTGTAATGCTGCACCCCCATGTGAACATACTAGTTTCTACTTCTATAAAAAATATTCTATATTAAAGGGACTCTAGTCACCAGAACTACAGCTTTTTGTATTTGTTCTGGTAGAATCATTCCCTTCAGGCATTTTTTCAGAAAAGGCAGTGTTTACATTACAGCCTAGGGATACCTCCAATCCAACGCCAATTTTGATGATGTCAAAGGGGGCAGAGCCAGCACACCCGTGGAGAGCTGAAAATAAGGTGAGTTGTAACCCATTCTGATGGGGCAGTGAGGAATTTGGCTTGGACAGTCAAGATTAGGCTGTCTGAAGAACTCTGAATACTACTAGAAATCCTTTTTGACCACAATGGATATGACATCCTTCCATGTGTTTTTAAAATAGAGATTTTTTTTCCTTTCTTCTGTTAATCCTCCCCAACAATTAACTTGCAGTGACCATGCATGTAAATTTACAGTTTTACTTTATAGTTTTTCTTACAAGACTTTTTTGTATTACACTGCACTCCCTGTTTAAGCTTCCATACTAATGGGAATGGGTTTATTTTTGCTTTTAATGCATGCAACATGGTTCCTAAACACTAAAGTTTAATCTACTAAAAAAATGATTGAAGTGGCACACATTCCATTATCACCATTACTACAGACAAACTGACAACTATGGGGTCATTGCTGAAATTCTTAAAATAAGAATAAGCCTGACATTTTTTCCAAAAGCTGTCAAGTAATCAACTGTTTTAAATCATGGTAACCAGGTTGGAGCACATTATTTACTGGAAAGAGGACATGCACAAACTCCTTCAAGCAATACATATACTTAATACACACAGGTAAACATGTAATTGACAAGGTAGGGATGCACACAAGGAATGGGTGCTACGAGATACTATCCTTTATATCAGCCACTTACTTGAATCCAGCACAGATATCCCTTGACGCAAGGCCAGGCTCCGCCCACGCCCCTCCCTCACCGATGTCAGCCTGCAGGGGAGACCCAGTGTGCATGTGCAGCAATGGCCGCACTCACATTAGATCTTCCCATAGGAATTATTCAATTCTTTCCTACAGGGAAAATCTGGCGCTGGCGGTCCGTGAGGACATCCAGCGTCGGATGACGGACCAAAAGTCCGTTTAGATTCTGGAAGCCGTCTAGTGGCTGTCAGACAGCCACAGAGTGCAGACTTAGAGCTGCATTACATTGCAGCACTAAGTGCAAAAGGGCCACTGCATCCAGACCACTTCAATTAGCTGAAGTTGTCTGGGTGTCTAGTTTCCCTTTAAAATGGACGTTAGGCCTAGCAGCAGTTTTGTGCTGAGAGCATCAGCTAGCACTCAACCTATCAAAACTGCAGAATGATATTTCACTCATCAGGAGCACTGTACACTTTAAGCAAAGAAAGACAGGGGGAAAGAACCGATACAAAAGGCTGTGTTCTCAGTGTTTGTATGTCAAGTATCTGATTCACTGTATAAGAGACTATCACAAGGAGATTGCTCTGGCACTGCAATAAAGAGTTCTTACAGGTTTTTTTTAAACCTTATTTTGACAAAGAGGGCAACAGTAATCTAAAGTAACACTAAAGGTGAATGTTAAAGTGTTACTACAAACAGTGACCACCACTTCAATGATTTGATGTGTTCATGGGACATGAGGTGTATGGGCAGCATTTGGCATTTAAATGCTGCACAGAGAGTTTAACCCATCTGCTAAAAGCCATAGGGCCACCTCCAGCAGCATCACTGGGGCATCCTCAAACAGTGTGGAATAAGAGTCTGGAATTCCATGCACAGAACTTCATTCGTGGGATGGCTGCTGGAAGAGATGTCCATCTTCTGCAGAAACTGGATGTTAGCCATAGGAACACAGAGCCAGCCAGGGACCCAAGTAAGAAGGCAAAATATTGCAAAATGGTTTCTCCCATTATCAGGGACAGACCAAGGGTACTCCTACCATCAAAACCAACACAGTGGGGTGCAATGTTTTGATGAGTGGAGTTATACTTTCCATATAGTATATAAGCTTATATTAACCCCTTAAGGATCAAATGCTACACTATGCAAATACCACAATCTTGTACCTTTATACCCTATTCCATAGTGGAACATTACACTTGATTGGGCAACTCTATGCAGGTCTATGGCAAACAACTGAGTAGGTGATTCCATTTTGGAATGAGGTGGTCAAACAGTTATAACTACATACACTGTTACTGGTCCTCAATTCGTTAACAGATTCTCTCTTATTCTGGTAGTCTTTCCAGACTATGTAATATTTTAAAGTGTAAATGTCAGTCAACATTTTACAAAACAAAAATGTGACAATTGATACTTACCATTGCCAGGTGGAGGGCTCATATTCATTTGTTTCTCAACTTCATTCTGCAATTCCTTTAATTTTTCTGCCTCTTCCTCCATTTCACGAACACGAGCCTTGATGGCCTCAAGTTCCTGCATTAGGACAAAATCAAATATTCAATGAAAGCTACCAACAAACCCCCACCTTTCCAGCTATACCCAATTAAAGATATTTCAATCAATCACTATAACCACAATAGCAACCATGCAGTGAACAGTCAGTGCTAGCTGGCAGCTTAGAAATAATGGTTTACGGCCATATATGATGAGATTTAGAGCCGTGTAATAACTATAGCAGACAATAGCTCACTCCGGTATGCCAAGCCTACTCCGTTACAGGGATTACAGTCTGTCCTACTCGGCTATCCATAGAGAGACAGTCCCGGCGGACAGTGCTAGCCCCGCACTCACAGTCCCGGTGCCGGCGGTGTGTATGGGCTGGTTACAGGGCAGCGCTGCCGCCCTCCCGCTAACAATAGGAAATGGCGGCCATGTTTAAAGCGGCAGCCCAGCATTGGGTTTGGGGGGGGGGGTGGGGGGAGCTCAGCTCGGCCAGCACCGATACCGGCACCGGGCGGCTCCGCACACCGAGCGGCACCGAGCACACGGCGGCTGCAGGCTGTCCCCCCCCGGCCCCCTATCCGCCCGCCCTTACCGGGTCCTCGATGGTCTGGTCTCCGCTCAGCTCCCCGGGCTCCTCTTCCTCGAGCTCCTCTTCCTCCAGCTCCTCCAGGCCGGCCGCCCCAGCCGCGGCCCCGCGCCCGCCCGATCTCCTGGCCGAGGCTCCCCTGCCCGCGGTCCGCCGGTTCCTCCGGCCGGGACTCAGTAACTCCAGGTCCAGATCGAGCCCTCCGCGGCCCATGGGATCGTCCTCCCCCGGCTCCGGCCCCACTCCGCCCGATCCAGCCCCACTCCGCAGCCCGTTCTCATAATCCGCCCCACGCAGCGCTGCGGCCGAGGACACCGCCGCCATCTTGTATAAAGCTCGCCCGCCTGGCCGTATGACCCGCCCTTATAACCGCCTGGCGGCGCTCAGTGGCCGCGGTCAGCGTCAGTCACGGCGGAGCGGCCTCTGATTGGACGCTCTCTGTCTGGGTATTGTTTCCTCGGGCGCCAGAGAGAAGCTCCACCCATCCGGTCACACAGGATTCGTCCTCACTGCTGTCAGTCAAACTACAGCTGGCTCCGCCCACTAATGGCCTCAACGTTCCATTATGGAGCAACCCATGGATCGAATCCGAGGGATATGGGGGGGGCTGCACGACACAGCGGGTCATATAGAAACAGTGATTGTACGGCAAAGTTCCACCAGTTGAATAATTCGCAGGAACATTCCATTGGTTTCCATGGTGACCATTGAACGTTGGTCCAGAGTTACTCTTTATACATAACCCCCATTATAGCTCCATGGACAGTGGGTGAAAAGTGCATGGCTGCGTGTGGCTGCTGCATTGCAGGGTGGATGCTGTTAGTTTGCCGTTTTTCCTACTCCCAGGTCTTTCATCCACTTGTTTTGATAGCTGAAATTACAGATAAAATAATGAAGTCTTTTATTAATATTGTCTCATCATTTACAGGTCACGTCAATCTTATAAGCAACATCCTTCTTATTTAGACTCTGGTGTAAACTGCACGTGTAATTTACATCTAACTTAGTGTTATGTCATTGTGTGTATAAAAAGACACGCATTTAAATCCTCATTATATTCCTTGTTTCTAAGCCATAACTGTAGAACATCCGATTTGGGGGTTCTGCAATCAGAGATTGATAGTTGCTTGCTGAAAACCTCTCACAAACTATTACTGCAAAGAGCCTTAAAGGGACACAACACGACACTTTAAAAAAAAAAAAAAAAATCACTATTTAGTAACTATACGTCCAAAGAAGACATGAATGCATTTAATTATGCATGACTTACAGTTTGCAAAGCTGCAGATCTCTTGTCTGAAAACCTCCCTTCTAACCCCGCCCAGACTTTCTGTGACTGTCCTATCACAGACTTCTCACTGCAGCTCAATGAGATGTTTGCAAGGCATGTGCTCCAGGTAATAGTCGGCTTCTTACTTAAAGGGAAACTATAGTGAAAGGAAAACTAACTTGTTTTCCTGCACTATAGCTTCCCCTTCTGTCAAGGCCCACCCCCGTGGTGCAGAAGGTGTTAATAACGCCTTCTGTCACTTACCTCCGTCTAGTGGCGATGTCCCTCGGTGCTGGCTCGGCTCAGCTCCGTCCAGGCTTCTCTTCCACCGCCGGCAGGGAAGACCTAATGCGCATGCACAGCAATAGCCGCACTCGCATTTATTCAATGCTTTCCTATGTGGATTCGGGTGATGCTGAAGTTCTCATGCACACCGTGAAGACGTCCAGCGTCAGACGACCAAAAGTCGTCTAAGCATCCAGAAGACCCTCTAGTGGCTGTCTGGCCTTTTTTCACCCCTTTGTGTGTCTCCTTTTCCCCCTCTGTATGTCTTTGTCCCCATTAGCCCCTCTGTGTGTCTCTCTTTTGTCCCCCTCCTGTGCCTGCTCAGCCTCACCTCTCTCTATGTAGCGCGGCCGGTCTGCAGCGGAGGAGCTGAGTACTCTGACAGGAAGCAGTTCTGTACTCAGTGAGCACTCAGTCTGACTAGGTAGGAAATACAGAAGGTCTTTTACAGCAGTCGGTCTGCTCAGCCATGCTACATGCAGGGACCAGCAGATCTGTAGCGCTGTGCAGTACTTCCCTCTTGTCGGTCACTGCATGTAGCGTGGCCGAGCAGATGGACTGCAGCCGATAAACTAACCTGTCGTGACAGTTTGGAAAGCTGTGCTTTACAGCATGTGAACAGATAGATATAGATATATATATATTCCCTAACCACACACAGACCCCTTCACTCACTACACTGCAAGCAGCTGCCTCTATACACACTTTCCTGGACCAATTCTGTCTGCTGCTATCCCACTTATCGGGTCCCCGAAGCAATTCACCAGTAAACACAGCACAAGCGTGTCATTAATTATTTGGTTAAATTACTTCTTCCCAGGCTACCTATAAGCCGATTGTAAAGCTGAATATGCAGTTAAAATAGTGAAGGATTTGTGCAAGAAAGCTAAATTAGATGGCAGAGACCCATCAAATGGAGGAAGCATACCATATAAAGTCATGAAACGTAGTCCAGCTCAGCAGCTGATATCAAGGAGTTTAAATACTTCTTTACCAGTAGCCAACAAATTATTAAGGCCTTGTGTGATAATGTACCAGAAAAACTGCCCCAGGGAAAACTCATGTACACATCAATGTAGGAAGCATCTGTCAAAGGCTTACTGAATCGAATTATAAAAAAATGCCTGCATGAAGCCACTCCGTGCTGATAGGACTGGTTGCAGTAGGCTGGTTATCTGTGCATGTTGTACATTTCACACAATGCTGTTGAAACAATGATTTTTAAGGGATGGCCCTGGGACATCTTTGCTCAACCGAATAGCTAACAAGAACTTAATGTGAACCTGGAATGAAAAATGTCACACATGAGAAATAGGATCTCTCCCACTGAATACACCATATATCACAAATATATATGAAGTATTCAGTGTAAAATGTATGGATTTTTTAACTTTCCTCTGTTCCAGCACCACTTTGTGGGTGTTACTCTTAATGTAGCACCCACCTCCAGCCTGTCTTCCACTCCTCCTCGGTGCCCATGGTGTCTTCTTTGAATTGCTATTGATAAAAACTAACCAGGAAAGGTTAAACGATTTTAACATGTATAGCTTGGAGTAAAGACTAAACGGAGGATATGATTTAAATACAGAAAGGGAATCAACACAGTAAAGGAGGTGACTATTTTAAATAAGGAAAACTACCACAACAAATGGACATGGCCTTAAATTAGAGGGGCAACAGTTTAAAAAAATATATATAATAAATATCAGAAATTATTACTTTACGGAGAGGGTAGTTGATGCATGGAATAGCCATCCAGCTGAAGTTGTAGAGGTTAACAGAGTGAGGGAGTTTAAGGATATGTGGGATAGACATAAGGCTATCCTAGAAATAAGAGACTAATGAAAAGATTTAGAAAATTGGGCAAACTAGATGGACAGAACCATGTGGTCACATTCTATGTTTCTATGCTAGGGAGTTTCCATAGTAACCACAGCCCATGTGCTGTGGTGTAAATGGGTGCAGAGCAGAGGGACCTCCTGTGCTCTCCCTTATCAGTCAATCCCTCAGAACACCTTGGCATTGCCTGACAGCTGGGAGAAAAAAAAAAAAAAAAATATATATATATATATATATATATATATATACACACACATACATACATTTTTTTTTTAATAGTTTTTTTCTCTTCATCTATACATTTGCTAGCAAAACAGCTAGCACAATATATATATATATATATATATATATATATATGCTCAATCTAATGAGCATACATTGTTTGAGGCATTACAATTTCCCCTTAAAGTTGCTCTGTCACCTTAAACTTACCTTGCTTCAGTCTGTTCTTCTCTTTCGCTCTCCTAATGTGTTCTTTATTTCTTCTATTTTAACCTTTTTCTCCTAAAGTACATAAGTCAAAATAGGTAGTACATTGTCTTACTTATTTTTCTTACGCTTGATAAAATGCAGTTCTAACAACAACAGAGGGAATAAGGTTGTCATAATACAGGGTTTGGAGTCCAACAGCCAGATCAGCAAGGTTTTCTGCCAGAAGTAGCCATTCGTGACCCAGGTGGTTGAGCCCCTGAGCCCTGAGTGGCCATCTTGTCTTAAACAGAGATGAGTGTGACGGACCGACTGCACCCCGACCGGGTACCTCCATCAATCGCTGCTTCCTAGTACTAACGCGTACCATAAGCACTGCACTGGAGCACCATAACCACTGCAAACCCCATGAACCGCCGCAGATTGGTTGGGGTCTCGCTGTCTCCTACCCACCCTGGACCTACGACAAGGCTCCAGGTTCCAGTGGGTGAACCTCTCTTGCTCCAGAGAGTCAAGCAGGAACAGCTCTTACAAGAGCTTCGTGTTTATACTCGGGGGAGTATAGTGATTATAGCAATCCCCAGAATGTAGTTCTCCAATCCCCCAAACATGAGTCGAAACTTCATGAAGGTGCAAGAGGATCTGCAAGTTTAATGGTACAGGTTGGATTTTTATACAACTTTTCAGGCCAGAGGAACACCCACTGGACCTGATGGGGCAAAGGACACAAATTGTACAGACCAATAGAATCAATGTAACAATGCCTGACACTCCCACATACAGCACACAATCCCTCCCCTCTGCCTGTGATACAATTAAGGTAGATAATTTAAGAACGTAATTATACCCAAGCATAAAAAACACATATTTTACAAAGTCTCATAAGTACCCCAAAATACAACATATCCCCATAACATACAACATATCCAAAAATCACCCAGATCAGAGCAGGGGTTCAAAAGTTTCATGGTAGTCTCTTATTTCCAATGATTAAAGTGCACCTGAAAAAGTCGAATGGGACCGTTCGTACACAAAGTCAGTGTTGAAGTGTGTTCAGTATATTATTTCTAACGAACGGTGCTCTGTTCGTGCATATTTAGCCGAATATAGATGGAGGTGGAATTCCCAGCGGTGTTTCGTGCCGTCGAGTGTCCGATTTCAGTCCCATGAACTCGATGGCAAAACACAGCTGACCGCGTTTGATTAAACAAGATGGCCGCCGCCACGTATTCGACTATACGAACGGCGACCACCCAGCCGTTCGTCAATTAAGCTGCGGTTAACCACAGCTTCTGGGAGGTTAACAGGCTGCACACTCCACTTGCGGGTGGTCCGGCTGTTCGACAGTTTGTTCGGTAAACGAACACCATAAGCCTAATCCCTTCGGTAAGCCCCATATAATGCACCATAGCAGGGAAAAAAGGCACGAACCATGTCTTTAGCCTAAATTTCACCACAGGGCCATAGTCACAGGGCAGGAGGCTGGCAAACAGGCCCCATTCATAAACTCGTGGCAAACTCACAGAAAAAGTGGAGTTTGTCACAATGAGAGAATGGGACAGAAAGATGTTAACATAGTAAGGCAGTCCAAGGTCAGTGGGAAGGAGAAGTAGCAAAATCAGACAGTCCAAATTCAGCAACAGGTTTAACAAGCAGGCACCAGCTTGATTAGAGTGTCACAGGAACCACAATAATCTGGCAAAGATACCGACACAGGAAATGGCATTTATAGACCAAGAAGCAGACACCTGACCAGACAGCTGAAAAGAGTGGACACAAATATCATGACATGTAGAGGCAAGGTTATTGGAGCCCAGGTAAATCTACAAAAGACAGGTTGGTGAACTGGTTATGAAGAGGACTATCAACATCAAAATCAGGGTTTGAAACCTAACAGAGTCAGCTCTTCACAAAGGTATTGTCTTGCTGATTGCAAGACAATATCTATGGAGGTCCCTGTGGTCTTTTTCATAGACATCAGTTCTGAATAGTGATGTCCCGAACTGTTCGCCACGAACGGTTCGCGCGGACTCCAGTCAGCTGAAACATTCCAGCCAATCAGCAGCAGACCCTCCCTCCCAGACCCTCCCACCTCCTGGACAGCTCACTAAGAATGCAGCTTCAAAATGGATGCTGTCCAGGAGGAGGTAGGGTCTGCTGCTGATTGGCTGGAATGTGTCAGCTGACTGGAGTCCGCGGCAAACCGTTCGTGGCAAACAGTTCGGGACATCACTAGTTCTGAACACTTATACGTGCAAAAGATATGTTCTTTCTAAATGAATGGTACTAATTCCACAAACAGACCATACTGATTTGCTTTAAATTTACTTAAATGATTACTCAGTTACTCCATCCACCCTGATCACTTCTGTTATTTTTTATATTTTTGCGAGTTTTAGCAATGAATACATTTTGTGAATAGCATATCAACAATATGGACACCGATGTCAAACATACATCACTGAGGGAATCCTACTCATTTTTTTCTTTTAACATTGTTAACTAAGAAACCCTGACTCAAGCTTACCTTTGGGAGAGATGCTAATGATGGGCTTCATGCCCCTTGTGGCTTAGTGGCATAGCACCATGAAACAAAATGCTCTAGTAAGGCTCCTATGGTAGGTAGGTATATGCAGCTGGATATCCTTCTATAGCTAAAGAGTGGAGCTTTAGCGCATTGGTGCTTAACCAGAAGGCCATGGCCGTACGTGGAGCGTGCAGTAGTTAGCTGTAATGATACAGGGAGGACCGCTTGCACGCTCTATGTGGTGGGGGCATATATATGCTGTCCTAAAGCGTTATCGTAAGCTTACGGAGCCAGGAAAACAAAGATATTATATACAATTTCAATGAATATTAAAGAGAAAGAAAAACTGAACACGGGTAAGGAACACTGTGTGCATATGAGGGCACAGGTTTCTGCAGCCGCAAAGTTCAGGTTGGCAGTTCGGTAGCTACGGGTGCTCTCCCTCTGGGTACAAATGGAGTGATTCTCGCTAGTATCCAGGATGGACGGTCCAGTGGCACTGACTTTTCCACTGGCAGCCCAAGGGATTGCAGGAAAGCTTGTGTTTCAGTGGGGTGTGCTATTGCGTGTGTCTTGCCTGCTCTATCGGCTATTTTTCTGCGGGTTCCCCACTTGTAAGGGATCGAATTTTCCTAGAGGAGCTGGGTGATTGGCTTGAGGGATCTCCGCTATGACAGTGTATGCCTAGAAATGTCCTGGTAAAATGCCAACTGTGCCCCTCAAAAGAGACTGTGGGAGTGCCCCTGACTGCCCCCATGATTACTCCATAGTCCGAGTCCCGCACCAGTTTCAGCAAGACATCCCTGGGTACCTCTTGAGCTGCAGTGGTCGCTCTGTTGAGTTGGAAGCAAGAGTTCACCGCAAGTTGCTTGACCTGTTTGGGCATGAGGAGAGTGGCTAGGAACCTATGGCAATAATGAGGGAGCTCTGCTCCGGATATAGTTTCTGTCACTCCCCATATCCTCAGGTTCCCTGTTCTTGTCCTCCATGTTGTCTATCTGGGCCTGTTGGTCAGCACACTGCTTCTGCAATGCTTCTATGGCAGCATCTGTAGCTGATTGTGCAAGCTTGGAGCCCTCTATGCTTTCTTCTACTGCGTGCACCTGTGCTGTGAGTGTGGTCACTGTTTCCTGGACTGGTGCCATGTCCGCATTAAACATGGCCTGGATTTCCTTCATTAGGGCTTTGAGGTCTTCCTTGGTGGAGGGAGCCGAGCCTTCAGCCTCTGTGTGTTCCTGTGGCCCTGTTCGCCGCCTCAATGGAGGTTAGAGGTCGGTTGTAATGCTGTCCTCGTCCAAGGACAGTGATGTATAAGCCTCCACGGGTGCCATCTTGGTGGGTTCAGTGCGCAGGAAAGTGCCTATATCTCGAGAACCCGAACCCGGGTCCGAGTGCATCTTCTTACTTTTCTTCCCCATGTCATCGGGGATTGAGCCGTAGCACTTTGAGCTCAGTAGCGGGGTCGAAAACGGCTCGTGGCTCAGTTTGGTAGGACCGACACGCGGATCTGCTCCAAAACGCATCTAGCTCATGTAGGCGCTGGCTCCGCCTCCGATCACTTCTGCTTTTTAAAGTGGGCATGGTAGTAAGAGTCTGTATCAAGCAGAAATGCTGCACATACAGAGATACGGATCTGTGTTCTAGGCTACTTAATGTTAATCATGTGCATTAATTACACAAGTCAACATCTGCCTCCTTTTTTGCAAGTTTTTTTTTTGGTTGTGAATTCAAAACCGAATTGCAAAATGCGGGCAAAAATAACCAAGGTGTTACTATATTGGAGTTGGAATAATTTTTCAAATTAGCAATTTTTTGTTGTTTCAATTTTGGAATTTGTTTTTTAATTTACTACAATCTAGTTACCACAGATGTTGGTGAACTATAATTCACATTATAATCAGTCCTCAACCTGGATCGGCATAATGTGAACGATTGGTTCCCAACATCTGTATGCCAAGATATTCAATTGTTATCGCTAGTGTTCTCTAATCCCTTCCACCCCACATCCTTGGCTGCGATTATCAGAATTGACAATCTCAGCCAATCCAATGCTTTCCTATGGGAAAACATTGTGATTGGCTGCGATCTTAAATTCTGATGATCACAGCCAGCGTGACGTTAGAAGCAAGGTGAATTTTCTATTTATTTAAGAGGTGGAAAGGGAGGCAGCAGGGTCTAATAGTTAGTATAACACTATTGGGTTTAGGAATAAAAGTTTGTCCTGACCCTATAGTGTTCCTTTAACCACTTAAGGACTGTGGGCATGCTATGCCGTCTTTGGGTACCCGGCTCTAAAAGCCGGCAGGCGGCATAGTACGTCCCCTCCGTCCAGGGGTCTTACCTGCTCACTGGTGATCCCCCACCGGCGATCGCGATGGGGGTGGGGGGCTTGCCTGGCATCCCAGGCAGTCCCCTTGCATCTGATCCGGCCCTCCTGGGCCATGTGATCGTGAGGTCCATATATATTATAAAATCAATAAATATATAAATACGTTAACTTTCCAAGACACCATAAAACCTGTACATGGGGGGGGGTACTGTTTTAATCGGGAGACTTTGCTGAACACAAACATCAGTGTTTCAAAAGAGTAAAATTTATTGATTTGTCTTAAAGGACCACTCTAGGCACCCAGACCACTTCAGCTTAATGAAGTGGTCTGGGTGCCAGGTCCAGCTAGGGTTAACCCATTTTTTAATAAACATAGCAGTTTCAGAGAAACTGCTATGTTTATGAATGGGTTAAGCCTTCCCCCTAATCCTCTAGTGGCTGTCTAATTGACAGCCACTAGAGGCGCTTGCGTGATTCTCACTGTGATTTTCATAGTGAGAGCACGCCAGCGTCCATAGGAAAGCATTATGAATGCTTTCCTATGTGACCGGCTATATGCGCGCGCAGCTCTTGCCGCGTGTGTGCATTCAGCCGACAGGGAGGAGAAGAGGAGGATCGGAGGAGGAGAGCTCCCCGCCCAGCGCTGGAAAAAGGTAAGTTTAAACCCCTTTCCAGAGCCGGGCGGGAGGGGATCCCTGAGGGTGGGGGCACCCTCAGGGCACTATAGTGCCAGGAAAACGGGTATGTTTTCCTGGCACTATAGTGGTCCTTTAATCTGACAATGGGAAAATAGAACATACAACATATACTGAGTTCAGCTCATGAAAAATGGGGGCAAAAACCCCCACAGTGGAGAATCAAGGCCGGATTTACATGTCAGATGCCGGTAGGCGCAAAATTCTAAGGCTTTCCAACCCCAAAAAAGGCATATAAAAGTACAATGAATGTATTAACTGGACACTGCAGGCCTAAAGCATCTAAAAACCATTCCTATTTGACAACATCTGAATCTATACAGCTATGCAAACCTATGCAGGGTTAAAGATAATGTTATATGTGGTTAGCGTATCTCCAAGCTCCTCTCTGACCTTGAGATCTCCAAGGTTTTCATCGGTATGTGAAGAATAGGGAGGGGTGAGTGGATTCTCGAATATTGTTAGAAATTAGGAGTATTAGGAGTCTGTTGTTAGTATTGAATGGCTGAGTAGGCGGCTTATCCAGAGATTATTTGAAGGACTCTCCAAATAAAAGTTCGTCCACAGCTGGGCCTAATTCTGATGCTGAAATATGTGTAAGTTGGCAGCAGGGCTGCCATCAGGGGGTGACAACCATGACGGGCCGCACGTGGAGCGGCAAAACTGCCGCAGGTGCATCTGTACTGGGGCCCATCAGGTGGCCCAAGCATTTAGGGCCACACGATGGGCCCTATATCTTCAGGGGCCCGGTCAGCACTGCAGCCGTGTAATTGCGCGACCGGGCCCCTTTTAAAAAAAAAATGCGGCTACACCGCAAGTGCTGCTAAGAGGAAGTGACGGCCGGTCACTACCTCCCAGCTTACTCCGCGCGGGGGGAGAGGGAGAGCAGAGGAGAGGACAGGAGAGGACGCCAGAGGCATCCGCTCCCTTCAACCCTCCTGCAACTTAAAGGTAAGAGGAGGGTGGCTGATAAATGAGGTGTGTGTGTATATGTATGTGTCTGCAAGTATGTATGTATGTATGTGTGTGTGTATGTCAGTATGTATGTCTGTGTGTGTATGTATATATGTCTGTGTGTATGTCAGTATGTATATATGTGTATATCTGTGTGTGTGTGTGTATGTCAGTATGTATGTATATCTGTGTGTGTCCCTGTATGTGTGTGTGTGTATGTATGTCACTATGCATGTATGTCTGTGTGTGTATGTCAGTATGTGTGTATGTCTGTGTGTGTGTGTCAGTATGTATATATGTCTGTATGTATGTCTGTGTGTATGTCAATATGTACATATGTCTGTGTGTGTCAGTATGCATGTATGTCAGTATGTATATATGTGTATATCTGTGTGTGTATGTCAGTATGTATATATGTCTGTGTGTGTGTCCGTATGTATGTCACTATGCATGTATGTCTGTGTGTGTGTGTGTATGTCAGTATGTATGTATGTCTGTGTGTGTGTGTGTATGTCAGTATGTATATATGTCTGTGTGTGTGTGTATGTCAATATGTACATATGTCTGTGTGTGTGTGTATGTCAGTATGTATGTGTGTATGTCTGTCTGCGTGTGTGTATGTCAGTATGTATGTGTGTATGTGTCTATCTGTATGTGTGTGTGTGTGTATGTCAGTATGTATATATGTCTGTATGTATGTATGTCGGTGTGTGTGTATGTATGTGTGTATATATATCTATCAGTATGTATGTCAGTATGCATGCATGTCTGTGTGTGTTTGTCAGTATGTATCTGTATATTTTTATCTGTGTGTGTGTGTATGTGTATGTATGTATATCAGTATGCATGTGTATGTATGCCATTATGTATGTATGTATGTCAGTATGTATTTATGTGTATGTATGTCTGTTTGTATGTATGTGTGTCAGTATGTGAGTATGTATGTATGTCAGTGTGTATCTCAGTATGTGTGTGTGTGTTTATCTGTATATGTGTCTTTGTCTGTTTCAGTATTTGTGTCTGTTAGTATGTGTGTATCTTTCTGTGTGTGTGTCTGTGTCCTTTTGTGTCTGTGTGTGTGTATTCCTGTGGGTGGGATTTGGAGGCGGGCACCCGGGGGCCCAGACCTTGAGCTGTGTTAGGGGCCCCACAATCTCTGATGGCGGACCTGGTTGGCAGTGAATTTTCATTCAAATTGAGCATCTACATTCACTAGAATTAGCACGATTAGCGTTGCCTAATAGGCAAAAGACCACTTTTGGGGTCGGTTTACTTTTTTAGGCAGTTTAGGTCTAGAGCCCATAACTTATTTCAAACTGCTTGGTCTAGGGTTTTCCTTATCTGTCCTTATTGGGGAAATAGGGACCCACTTGGAGGACTGAGGTTGCTTAATATGGTCTGGATAAAATGATTAATTCATTAATTTTGCAATGTGAGCATTAGAGCAATTAGACTCTTCGTATGCAAAGTTAGTATCTGAAGAAAAATACTTTTCCTCATCTGAATTTGAGTTTGTGGATGAAGAGTCACTTGAGGAGGTATGAAAGATATTGGGTTTCCTTCCTAATATGGTCTTCAGAGCGCATTTGGCATCCTCACAGGCAGAGGGTGTATGGAGAGGTGTTGCTACACACTAATGTTGAGTGGTGTGTATCATTCTTATTTTTTAAAAATCTTTCCCAGAAGAGCAGCTTTTAGCTCACTTAGGGAAGTCTACTATTTTCAAAGCAATGCTTCCTTTTCTGGGTGGCCCTTCCACACCCCTTCTTACCCTTAGCTAAGTTTTGCTGAGACTCTTTTGCTGACCAAAACAGGTCAAAAGGATCCTAGGGTGACTGTCATGGGATTCTTCATCCCTTAATTGAGAAATTGCCATAGAGACAGTTTTTGCAAAAGTCTCCTTCATAGAGTTCATGGCTGTTAAAATGGCATTATACGCTGTTGTAGCGAAACCCCTTTTTGGCTGTCCTATTTCCTTTATTGATTGTTGGTCCTGCAGAGATTTTCCTGTGCCTGGAGTACACAAAGCTCTAAGTAACTAGATGTGGACATACTTTGTTCGGTATGGGAATACCAGCTTACATGTGAACGACTAAAATTCACCATACGAACAAAGTACCGAATGAACCGGACCACCCTGATGTGTATAATGGATATAATTTACCTCCCTGATTGCTTTTCATTCCCTTGTACGCACGAACCGCCGCCATTTCAGCAGCCGAACACGTGGTGGCGGCCATTTTAAATCTGCGAACAGCGGTGTTTGGTCGTCGAGTGTCTGGAACTGAAAACGGACACTCGACTAGCCAAACACCGCTAAGACCTCCAGGGCTTCAGAATGCATGGATGGAAACCCACGAACGGCCCGGCGTTCGGTAGGATGAATCCCACAAACTAGGGTATTCATCCGGTTATCGAATGCAATATGGATGTTATAGCAATTCGGGACTTTTGGGGCACGAATGTAGACCGACCGCAGGGCCAGATTTCATGGAACTATTTTTGGCCACTTTGCCCATGCGGTCGGTTAAAACTTTACCTTCCCATAACTCCCGAACCCCTGGTCTGATCTTGGTGATTTTCGGATATGTTTCTCACCCAGATCAGGGCTACCAGGGGGTATTTAATGGCATATTCCACCTATTTGGGGTACATCTGAAAAGTGGGGGGAAATGTGCTGTGTATA